ATAAATTATATAGAAAATATATACTTTTAACCCTTCCCCTCACCCCCTTATCCCCACAGACATTGACGTAAGTGTTGATTTTTGAGGGTCTATGCAGTCAGCGCGCCGTTTAATCTGCCGCCGACAAAATGTTATAGATCTAGAAAAAACTGGTCTGTTATAGATCTACTAGATCTATTTAATAATATCCACCGCAATTGTTTTGAAGGTTTTGATATGCTATGTGTATTTTAGTGTTTTGTCATGGATTATCTCTTGAGCGATGGGCTAAGGATTAAAATAATTAAAAGAATAGATCTAGATCTAGACTCGCTCTATATTCTATATCAAGTTAAGTTAAAGTTGTGAGCTTCGTAATTTGTTACTGCTAAAAACTGTAACATTCGCCTAACCTGGAGACATTCGATCCGATTGTTGTTAGTTGTTAATAGTAGTTAAACAGCTATGTTACATCAAAATAAATGTAGGATAAACATAGGAAAGCAAATAAGTGAATCCGTGAATGAACTAAACTTTCTTCCCGCATCTAGAAGTAATTATGACTAGTAGTGCATCAGGCTGGTGTGAGAAAGGTCAGCCTGTTTGGGTAAGTTATTTATTAAAATAAAATTATAATTTCGACAAATAGGCCTGAATTGAATAGTATTTAATTTTAACTATTTATTAGTATTTAAATTATTTTAAATACTAAAGATAGTATAGGCTATAGGCCTGCAGAAACATAGGCCTAATAATTTTCAATTTATAAATATATTAATATTGAATATAATTTAAAAAATACACTAAATAGGCCTAAATAGTTTTTTTTAATATTTAAATTCTAAATCTAGATTTCTAGTATTTAATTTAGTTTAATGAACTACGAAACTATTTTTTTAACGAATATTTAGTTAATTATTTAGAAATAGTTTTTAGTAATAGACTAGTTAATACTAATACCACTAATCAGTAAAAACCTTAAGTGTAATGTAAATGTATAGTTTATTTTTTATAGTATCTAGATCTATATTATATATATTATTATTGGTGTATTATATATTGTGTATACTGTAGTAGTGTATAGGCTATATTTTAGAAAATATAATATAGGCCCCCTACTGTCTTTAAGTTTTTAACCATTGCCTGCAGACTCCACAGAAGATTTAATTTCCCCCCCCCCCCTTCCCAATGCAAAGTGCATTAGTGCCTGAAAGTTAGTAGGGTACTATATATATATATATATATATATATATATATATATATATATATATATATATATATATATATATATATATATATATATATATATATATATATATATATATATATATATATATATATATATATATATATATATATATAAACACCACCCCCATCTGTAGAAGCTCCGTTCAACCTACCTCCATTTCTACCCCCTCCCTAATAATTACACATGATCACTCAAGCCCAACTGTGTAATCGTTGTATAGGACAACCCCTTTCCATTTTTTATTAAAATACATTGATCTAGATCTACATCTAATCTAATACCGAAATCTACAGGCCTACACTATAGATAGTCTATAGTCAAGGATGTGTATTTATCTAACGCAATAGTTATCTCATAGATAGATTACGTTATGCACTTGTAATTTTGGATATGAATTTTTTACAATAAGAGTATAGTTGAACTCATTTTAAAAAGTTGTCATGTATATGGGTTAGGCTACTTTTCAGCAGTCTTTTAAAAAGAAATCTCAGCATCAACACTGCCATCGTTTTACACAGGCCTGTATAGTCCGATACCGCCGTTGTAGTCCTTTGTGGTGCAGAACGCCGTGTAGGCTAAACCATGCCCTTCTTTTTAAAAACACAGTAAAAACCACTGTTCTAATTCGGATTTTTTTTCTCTTCGTTTTTTTTTAATTATTGGTGGGAGTTTTTATCCATGTTGAATTTCTATTTTTTAGGCGGAAAATCGGGTTCTTTTAAGAAATTCCTTGATAAAAAATATCTAGTCGATCGTACTGCGACAACCACCTGCGACGGTTCGTTAACTAGGTCTAGGTCACAGTAACTAACACTCAGTTCCTACATTTAACAGAGCGGCGACCTATTTTATTTGTACTATGACACGCTATTTCTGAACCTCCTTGGTTGTTAAAATTTGAAGTTTTGGTATTTGTGTGTGTAGTTGCACTAGAGGAAAAATGTTGAGAAAGTAAAAGATCTTTCACGGCCTGTTGTGCGGTGAATGCCCCCCCCCCCCCCCCCCCCCCCCCCCGCTCCGTAACGTAAAACGTTGCCATACAGTTTGTGAGATGTTGACTCAATTGTAAGACGTACGGGTACTTGCAATAACGACGGTAGGTCGTATCAAAGCCAGTATCGCCGTCATCTAGCCGAACCTCTAATCCGATAAGCACAACTGCCATAAAAACCTCGATCCCAATTTGTAGTACCCTCGCTGTGTAACCGACTCGTAAGCTTCCTCCATTCACACATCGCGACGAAAACGTCATAAAATCTATGAAAGCACATCTGGTGTGTTTGTAGCGTTGTAGGTGATGTAGGTTTCTCCATCGCTCATGATACGTTGCAGCTTTATCCGAAAACTCAATGAACTGAGTACTTTAGTAGCATTACAATACGTTAATGTGATATATCTACACACGAAAATGGGGGGGGGGGGGGGGGGACGACTTTTTCTTCTTCTTTCTTATTTTTTAGTGTTGGGAGGGATAGAGTCTTATCTGCCAGTGGGTTTGAACTCGAGACTTTTTTTTTCGAATTTATCAACCATGAGCTGTTGCTCGACCACGCCTCCATCACAATTAGGATACGTGTCAACTGGTTATGCGCCATTGAGGACATTGACTCCGATTTCAGCCTGCTTTTCTTTTTGGATTTACTTCCATAGCCTTTGTCCAACCAAGAACAAACTACAAGGCAGCAGTTGTTTGATTTTGGAATATTTTGGAATAGAAGAGTGGCTGTCCTCAGCTAACGAGCCTCATCTGCCTGAGGGTTCGAACTCGAGACTTGTCGGTTTAGCAACCATGAGCTTTACCGACTCGACCACGCCGACCCCGGTGGGGGGGGCGACATTTCCACCAATACAAATTTTAAAAAATCATTATAGCATTTTAAACCAATTTTATGACGTAATATGCTGCAAGCTATTGCTGTGGTGGCGTAGCTACCTACTCCGGCGCCCTAGGCGAACGATCAGTTTTGCGGCCCCCTTTTACATAATCATATCATTCACGTTGGCGAACAAGCGCTCCCCCCCCCCCAATTTTTAATATTCGTGTGCGCTTTGTAGTTTTACTGGGCACTGTTCGTTAACCTTTTTATTTTGGTGTCACACAACTGTCTAATAACTAATAAAATAGTTAAACAACTCCGTAAAGCCAAGTAGCCGTCTATTTTCTTAACTTCGAGTGTGTACATTTCAGTAATGCAGCTCAAAATGAGGTTTTTATTTTTTTTTTTACACCCAATGTGGCGCCCCTTAAGAGTCGGCACCTAGGCGGTCGCCTTACCCTCCCGCCCCTAGCTACACACTGTACAAATATGCACATTAACCGATCTTCACTATTTTCGAGGAAAATAAATGTCTCGATAAATTCGGTGCCCAGTTGTTTTTTTTAACAACCTGGACACTCTCAACACACTTGTTACTCTACTGTGACAGCTACGTGTGTGTGGGGGGGGGGGGGGGGGACGACACGACCCGTTAACTCTACTCACATGATAGCACACAGGAGAATCGTCGCTCACGATACTCCAACCTTTAGCTTTAAGATGATGGTTGAGGTATTGTTTGAAGGCGGTACTAACTTTATAAATATGTAAATAGGGGTGAGGGGTCTGTAATTTTGTGACGATGTGTGTTAGTGGGAGTGGGGTTCACATAGTGTGACGTCACACTTTTGCATTTTGAAAAAGTATTGTTAGAGACTGAATTTAGCCGTTATTTCGCGTTTTTATACACTGTTTTCGTAAATTGTAATAGGAATAGACTTATATGCTCTGTGTTAACCAAGCTCAGAGAATATTTTAGAACGAAAGCGATGTTTGACCAAAAAATAGGGAGCAGTTTTTATGGGTAGTGGGTAGGCTGAGGTGTGAAGTCATTATGAGGAGGGTCTGGCTTTTTGTGGCGATGTGTGACGGAGGGGAGGGGAAGAGATGACAATCGTCAAAACAGGGTGAAGTCAATATGGTTGAACCGATAGGACACAAATATCTTCACTCCCTAAAAGTGAATAAACATGTTGCTTTTGAATACGATATGCATGTGTATAATAACTATTTTTTTATACCATTGTGTTTTAAAATATTTTAAAATTCAAACCATATTTTAAAGTGAGCATACGTTCTATTTACTTCTTGTTTAACGAATTGATAATTTTCTATTTGAAAAAAAAAATCTTTACAGTGATAAAAAAAATATGTGTTTAAGTACATGTTTCAACTAATATATTCATCACAATAAGATGGCCGTTAAGGACTTGATAAGTCATTGCATTTTTCTTAAAATAAAAACATTTAAATACCTTTAATAAATAATTAATCAGATAACATTTAGCTTTGAATACTACGTGACTGATAAACACTTTAGTAAACGTAATAAACCAGTAGCCTACTTTCACTACATTGTCGCGGCATAATTGTATGTTTTTCTATCAGCAGAACGTTCGTTCTACTGTCATGTCTTCATTAGCGCACTAGCAAAGTCTAAGTATTAAAACAATAAAGTGAGTTATATTTTTACTAAACTGATTAAATCATAGTCATATTTTTTAAAAATTGCCATTTAAGCATAAATAACTTTGTATTACGGGACTACTAGTAAAACAAAGTAGCAAATAAACAATATTTCAAAATAATCGCACGAAATATAAATTAAATATATGGATACGACGATCTACTATAGTAATTCGCTACATTGAATCAGGCGCGTCCTCCGGCGCCCCGACTGGATGCGATTTGGCGCCGAGGGCTCCCCCATGAGCACTATAGCGCCTACATTCGTTTGAAAGAGCACTATAAAATAGGGACATGGTGGCACACATTGGTACCGCAGCATCTCGCTAGTTTTATATAGGCTATAGGGCCTACTGATTGACGTTAAAAGCCTTAGGGGCGTGGTATAATTCTTTCGATATTTTATATAAAGTGTTCTATTCGGAAGCCTACAGCATTTCAAAGTTTCATTTGTATATAGCAATGGGTTTATCTCGGGATCTCCACCAAAATATAAGCCTATATTTTTATATATCGGTCGGCATGGTCTCAGTAATAAGAGTGGCTCTTGCTAGCCCCCAACAAATTAACTTATCAAAGAACAATTTAAAGAGAGAACTGCCGTTTTGCTGCGTGAACACAATCAATATACTTTTTCCTTTACCTCAGTTATACCATTAGTATCATCAATATGACAATAATGTCCATATAACTTTTAGACTTGTTACCTTGTTTTTTCCATAACAGAAATAAAATGTAAACAATGTCGGCACTTTATTCCTTGGATCTTAGTTGTTGGGGCGCTTGTTTGTCGACTTTCGTGGACGCGCAAATTGGGGGAAAGTTTCGTTTCTATTAATATAGACGTCCAGACGCCCACACACTTAAAATTTAATACTCAAATAGTTTCATGTTAAAACAAACAAAAACTCGTAACATGCATATTAAATGTATAGACCTACATTAAAACGACAATGCTCGTGGTTTTTTAAACGTAGCTCATAAACTACTTCACGTTTTTAAAAACGATTTTACCTCCCCTACATTACAAAAACCACCCCCCCCCCCTCCTTTCAAATGACTCATTACTTCAGCATAACACTCCAAAATTTTCGTTTTTTTAAACACACTTCTTTCTGAAATGTTTACTGAGCTAGATTTGGTCTGAGTAGATAATCAGTTTTATTGCAATGAACAAACATAAAACAAACTCCTCTACCTAATGGCATCAACAGCACAACCTTCTCAATAATTGTTTCTGAATGTATTAGTTAAGTCTCTGTCTATGGTCTATGGCAAGTATAATTTGTTGAGTCTGGAGTCTAGGGTGAGAACCTGTTTAATAAACCTGTCTCTAATAAACCTGTGTCTTGTGTCTAGGATGAGAACCTGTTCTATAAATCTGTCTCTAATAAACCTGTGTCTTGTCTAGGATGAGAACCTCTTGCTGAACAGCTCCTACCCCAAGTTTACAGGATGTTTCCAAGACACTGTGCTGGTGTGGGTACCATGTGGTGCATTGTGGGTGGTGACCCCGCTTTATCTCTACTACATGAGCACAGAAAGAACCAATGGCAAGATACCTCTCAACCGGTTCAACATCATCAAAACTGTAAGCATTTAATATATAGTCTAGGTTTAGATTAATAATTTTTGTTTAGGATTTTAAGAAACTTTATTCAAATATGAATAACCTTGAATAAATCAAACAATATTACTTGGAAATACAATAGTTAATACAATTATGATCTCAATTTCAAATGAGGTGAAAATATAAATTATCAAATATTGTGAACGAGCCGACCCGTGGCATATCATACGCCGCTATTTAGTTGTTTTATTTTCTACTTTTCATAATTTGTGAATTCGACAGTACCAATGCTGCCACTGAAAATATTTGCTTTAAAACACTATCAGTAGGTCGTTAAGGACGATACTACCACCACCCCCCTTTCCCCCAACCCATACCCTACACCCCCCCCCCCCCCATGAAAGCAGCCTCCTCTTAGTTCCTAAGTTTAAAATAGTTTCAAACTAAATTATCTGCCCCTAGTAGCCGTCAATAAACCCGGCTCTACGATTGTAAACATTGAGCGTGAACCAAAGCTCACCAGACCATGTAGTGGTGGGGTGGTAGGGAGCGCGCTTACAGCTTGGTGTTTTCTAGCATCTCCAAGAAGAGAATTATATATATAGATTCTTGCCCAATGAAAACAAAGAGTGTAAAAAATATAGTCATAGTGCCCATGAGTTATGATCCATCCAAAAACCTGTATTGATATTTTAAATTTTATTTATCTGATGTGTGTGTGAATGCTGAATTAATTTTTTTTCCAATGTATCTACAGACTGTGGCCATACTTTTGATGATTGTTTCCATCATCAACCTCATCCATTTTGGCACAAAGGGAGGTAATGTTCCCACATCCAAGTTTATCTCAGGGGGTGTCCAAACTGGCACATTTGTAGGTTGTTTTCTTTTGTCTCTGCTGCTACCCATTCTTATCATTGAAATATGTAGACTCTTTTCTGTTTTTATTTTTTTTATTTTTTTTTATTTTTGTAACTGAGGTGTTGTTATAAATATCCTGTAGTAATTGAGTTAATTTCTGTAGATATCAACCACATTAAAATCTGTGGTTGCAATTTTTTTCCCTTTAAGCTATTGGTAGATAGGCTAACAAATTATACTGTTGTTAACTTTAGATAGCAAATAGACATCACAGTAAATACATAATACAGTCCCTTATCATTTTTTTTTCTACAAGCTACTGGCAGCAATATTAATTCAGATAGAACGTCACTATGGATTCATAACCTCTGGTGTTCTGTTCCTTGTTTTTGCTCTGCTTGTTGTTGCCGGGGTTGTACCATTCTATTCAAAAATTATTGAGAAGGTAAATTCGAGTTTTTAATTTTTTTAAATTTAGAACATTTGTTTTTATCACTCATTAGCAAGCAGGAAAGTCTTCAAGTCATCCATCTCTGATGGCTGTTTAAGTTGGAATGTAAAGGCATGTGGTCACATTATCCCTTCATATGCAAAGTTCAGGGGATCCACTTCATCAGCCCCATGGACCCTCTAGTCTGAAAGGGCTTTACTATAGTATCACTCAGTTGCCCTATTCCTTCACCTTTTGAATTTAAATGTTCAAATTTAAAATTGACACACATTTTTAAAATTTCAGGATGATGAGTCTTATGATAGTTTTGAATTCACTATATTTTACATCTACTTTGGTCTCATTTTGCTGGAGTTTTTTCTGCTCTTCTGGGCAGATAGAGTTAGAAATACACAATATCGTGCACTTGGAAGAAGGGTAAGTTTTCTCCCTAAAATCAGTTTACACATACTTACATTTTCTGGTTACTTTTTAGATACTGATATTTGCTATTTATTTGATTTCCACACTAGATTGCTATCCCTAATTAAAAGAAAAGTTTTTTGTTTATGTGTTAATGATTTTGAGGACAGTAAAGGAAAACTACATAAAAAACTGTGTTTCTTCCATAGTATTGGACACAGTTCTGTGATGTAAAATTATTTTATTAGTTGTGATATTTTGAATCTCACTAACAAAACGAATGCTTAAAACAATGTTCAGCACAAATGTAACTAATGTAATGGATAGTTTTTTTCTTTAATTCAGCCAGAATGTCCTGAAACATCTGCATCTTTTCCAAGTCAGATAGTGTATGCATGGATCTACAGGTAATAATTTGTTTACAGCAAGCTCTGTATTAGTCTACACCACTCATTTAACATTGCTACATAATGAAACGTGTGTGTTAGGCTGAATTCATATTTGGTTCTACCTTGCTTAGAGAGGGGGGGGGGGGGGGGGCGGCCCTAGGTTTACTAATTTAACATTGTGACATGTTTAACACAGATTTAAATGTTAGCCTGAATGCATCTTTGGTTTCAGCTTGCTAAGACAGGGCTACCGTAAAGATCTAGAAGAGGATGAAGTATTTTCACTCAACCCAAGAGATAAGTACACTACAGTTGTGCCAGAATTTGATGAAAAATGGCAACAGGAACAGCAGAAGTCAGCTGCTAAAAATAGAATACTCAGGTTTGTCATGAGTAGCATAGCTAAAAATTGATAATTAATTTAGCTTAAAATATTCCATTTATTTACCTAAGACTATATCAACAGTTCGCATTAATTACGAACAGATAGTTATGTATTTATTGATATTTAAACTAAACAAAAACACGTTTTTAAAATGTAACAGATTTTGTGAAAGAGTTGGGTTTTTTCATTTGTTTTGTAAAATTATTTATAACTATCCTAAAATTTAGTTAAAATTTTTGTTACTGTAGGGAGTCTTTAACAAGTTCAGGCTATCACAGACCAAGAAGACCTAGTGATAAAACACCTTTGCTGGAAGAGGAAGTCAAGTTCTCTAAAGCAAAAGATGCACAAGCTAAACTCTCTCAAGCTTCATTGACCAAAGTTATTCTAAAAGTATTTGGGGGGACTATCTTCCTTTCACAGGTGAATATTTCAAACTTTTTATTTTAATCAATTATTTAATAAAAACAGCAAAGTGTTGCTGAATCGTGAACCCTAAATACTTTTAAAACACCATACATTTTCCTTGTGCTCTAATTACACTTTAGCTTACATTCCAGCTTTAGTGTTAACCACTGGAGATAAACCATCAATCATAAAAATGTTATTTGTTCAACAAATTTAAACTTAAGCCTGAATTTAAATTCTCCATTTCAGTTGTTGAAGCTCATCTCTGATCTTTTGACATTTGTAACACCTATGTTGATAGAGTAAGTATAACCTGAGATATATATATATATATATATATATATATATATATATATATATATATATATATATATATATATATATATATATATATATATATATATATATACATATATATATATACATATATATATACATATATATATAAATATAATATTGGCCTATATTATATATTTATTTATTTATATGTATGTAAATAAAGTGAAATTCCTTTAATGCTTGACATGAAAAAATTGGTTTGACACAAAAAAAAATGTTCTGACACCAGGTAATTTAAATGTATCATCTAACAAAAAATATTTTTGTCCCCTGAGTTTAATATCTTTCCATGTTTGAATAATAAATAAAACTAAAATAATTATGTGTAACAGGTATATAAATGTGTAAAAATAATCCCAAAAATAAAAAAATCAACTTTTTCAACAGAGAGCTGATTGGCTTCACACAGAATCGCAACAGCATGCAAGAATGGAAAGGCTATGTGCTGGCATGTTCATTCTTTGTTGTAGCCATGTTAAAAACCTGTTTGTACCAGTACCACTTCCATGTCACCATGACCTTGGGCATGAGGATCAAAAGTGCTGTCATTTCTGCTGTATATAAAAAGGTTTGTATATGGGAACAGAAAAAAATAGTATTATAAATAATAAATTGACTGTTTTGGTTTTAAATCCATTATAGCAAATGTTCAGATTTTTCTGCATTTTAAATTAAATGTTGCATTTGTTTCTAAGCATTCTTTCCTATCTGATTTAAAAATCCAGAGCAATACCTATGTGTTGAACATCACTGACCATTATGTGATTTTTAAAAATGTTGTCACTTTCAGGCACTTACCATCAGCAATGAAGCTAAAAAAGAGTCGACAGTTGGAGAGATTGTCAATCTCATGTCTGTTGATTGTCAAAGGATTCAAGATGCCACAGGTAGGACTTGTTCTTCAAACCAAACATAATCTCACCTGTGGGGCACATGTTTCCCTAATCTTTTTTGTAATTTAAAAATGCTATTAGCTGCTGTCAAAATTTTATTTGACTGCATGAATAAAATGGATAGGATAGGTTTAGGATTTATGTTAAGGATAATGAGCTGATATAAAGACAGTGTGGGCTTGATATATATATATATATATATATATATATATATATATATATATATATATATATATATATATATATATATATATACTGCCATTTATAAACAAGAAGGTTGAATGGCGAGGCCTAGCAGTAGAGCGCTAGACTGCAAACACAAAAGTCTCAAATTCGAACCCAGGTTTAAGTTAGTAGAATGTCCCTGAGTCCACCTAGCTCTGATGGGTACTTAACTTATCTTAAGGAAAGGAAAGATGGCTGCGCTAAGTACTGACAACACTATCCCTTAATATGCACAGGTCACAGAAACAGGTGAACTCTACTTCATTTGCCCCATATACAAGAAGATTATTTACCTGCATGAATGACTCTTGTTCTAATTAAAGTCGATATCAACATATCCCAGTTTATGGACAAATAGAAAGATATTTTAATACATCTTCAAGAGCGTAATATTTTTTTAGTTTAATATCTTTAAATTTCCGGTTATATTTACATGCTGTGGTCCATGCCACTGATGATTGTCCTAGCCTTGTACATGCTGGTCTCTTGTCAAACAGGTTATATTTACATGCTGTGGTCCATGCCACTTATGATTGTCCTAGCCTTGTACATGCTGGTCTCTTGTCAAACAGGTTATATTTACATGCTGTGGTCCATGCCACTTATGATTGTCCTAGCCTTGTACATGCTGGTCTCTTGTCAAACAGGTTATATTTACATGCTGTGGTCCATGCCACTGATGATTGTCCTAGCCTTGTACATGCTGTGGGGGACGCTGGGTCCCTCCTCTATGGCTGGTCTGGGTGTGCTACTTCTACTTATGCCAATCAATGCCTGGGCAGCCGGCAAACAAAGATCTTATCAAATGCAGCAGATGAAAACTAAAGACAAAAGGATCAAAATAATGAATGAAATTCTTAATGGCATTAAAGTAAGTCTATGAAAAATTATTTTTGAAATAAATGACAAGATTTTTAGCAAATATACTTTCAAAAATATCTTTGGGTTTTTCACTATTATTAGACATTTTCTTTCTTTTATTTAAAAATATTTTATAACACTATTAGTATAGACATTGCTCTTATAACAAATTATTATGAACTTTAAATTTAAATATAACATTAACTTAGTATGCCATAGATTATTTAAACACAGAGTGTTAACTTAGAATTGATTTAAATATAATGATAACAATTACTGTTATCTTTAGCTTGATTTAAGTATAACGTTAACACAAAGTTCATATAATCGGAATGTGTTCGTTTTCTCCTAAGGTTTTAAAGCTTTATGCCTGGGAGAAATCTTTCCAACAAAAAGTTACTGACATCAGGTCAGAAGAGTTGAACACTCTCCGTAAGACAGCCTACCTCATTGCTGTGACCATGTTTATATGGACTTGTGCTCCCTATGTTGTGAGTTTTATCATATTTTTTTATTTTATAATTAACATTCTTACACTGTTAAACTTAACCCATCAGCAATATTTAACAGTTAACATTCCTACATTGTTCAACCTTTGCCCTCTGCTTACAGGTGCAGCTGGTTTCATTTGGTACCTACATAGCTGCGTCAGACACAGGGTACCTCGACCCTTCCACAGCTTTTGTAGCTATTTCTTTGTTTGGGATATTGAGGCAACCCATGGCTGCCTTGCCCATGATCCTACCTTTTCTGATACAGGTAAGTTACATATATGTGGGTCTCACCTTTTCTGATACAGGTAAGTTACAGATATGTGGGTCTCACCTTTTCTGATACAGGTAAGTTACAGATATGTGGGTCTTACCTTTTCTGATACAGGTAAGTTACAGATATGTGGGTCTTACCTTTTCTGATACAGGTAAGTTACAGATATGTGGGTCTCACCTTTTCTGATACAGGTAAGTTACAGATATGTGAGTCTCACCTTTTCTGATACAGGTAAGTTACAGATATGTGGGTCTCACCTTTTCTGATACAGGTAAGTTACAGATATGTGGGTCTCACCTTTTCTGATACAGGTGTTAAAGATATGTAGGTCTCACCTTTTCTGATACAGGTAAGTTACAGATATGTGGGTCTTACCTTTTCTGATACAGGTGTTAAAGATATGTAGGTCTCACCTTTTCTGATACAGGTAAGTTACAGATATGTGGGTCTCACCTTTTCTGATACAGGTAAGTTACAGATATGTGAGTCTTACCTTTTCTGATACAGGTAAGTTACAGATATGTGGGTCTCACCTTTTCTGATACAGATAAGTTACAGATATGTGGGTCTTACCTTTTCTGATACAGGTAAGTTACAGATATGTGAGTCTTACCTTTTCTGATACAGGTAAGTTACAGATATGTGGGTCTCACCTTTTCTGATACAGATAAGTTACAGATATGTGGGTCTTACCTTTTCTGATACAGGTAAGTTACAGATATGTGAGTCTCACCTTTTCTGATACAGGTAAGTTACAGATATGTGGGTCTCACCTTTTCTGATACAGGTGAGCTAGAGATATGTAAGCCTCACCTTTTCTGACACCGGGTGACACCCAACCTAGCAACGCCACTGGTGCTAATTAATTCTATGTGAATTCTTTATATGGCATTGTGTAAGAAATCAATCATTTTAAAAAGTTTGTTTTATTCTATTATTTATTTTTACTGCTGTTTATTTTCTTTCAGGCTGGAGTGTCTGTTGGTAGAGTGTCCAAGTTCCTGCGCAGTGAAGACCTGGATGCTGATGTTGTTACAAGAGACCCAGACAATGGTGAGAAAAACAATTTACTAAAATGTAACATAACTATGTGATTGGTATCAGTAGAGTCTCAAGGCAGGGGTGCGGACAGGTAGAGAAAAATAAATTTAGATGTAGGCTTTTCTGTATAAATAAAAAGACACAAAGACTTTTATCTTGCATTTTAGAAAGAAAAAAAACATGGTTAATTTTTTTAGTAAAAAAAAATTAGTCATTTGATATCATTATTTCATTCTTCGTTTATAAAAATAGATGCTGCCATTACAATTGAAAATGGAACCTTTACATGGGACACTCAGTCCGTTTTCCCCACATTGAACAGGTATTGTTTTATTTTATCACCATCTCTTACTTTCACCATACTTTGTAAATACCTGTTGTTATTACATACTGACCAGGTCTAAAGAAAGATATTTTGGACTAACTTAACTTATATAGTATAATTAGCATCTTTTATATCTTTATAGGATCAATGTGTCTATAAAACCTGGGAGCTTGGTTGCCATTGTTGGTACTGTAGGTGCTGGGAAATCCTCTTTGTTGTCAGCCATGTTGGGAGAAATGAAAAAGTTGAAAGGAAAAGTAACTCTGAAGGTCTAATAATAATAATTGATTATTTTGCTACATATTTTGTTAATCTAAATCTTATAATGTATTTTTTTAAATTTTAAGTAATATTGTTTTGTTGTTTTATGTTTACTTAATGCAGAAATGTATGTTTAGAGAACATCATATTTACTTGGTAGAAGTTTAGTGAATTTGTATAAAGAATGCTGCTGTTCTTGTAGAACAGGATAGCATATGTGCCACAAGAAGCCTGGATCCAGAATGCAACTTTGAAAGACAACATTTTATTTGGGAACCCCTACTCAGCCTCCGAGTATAAAAAGGTCATTGGTGCTTGTGCATTGCAGCCTGACCTTGACATTCTTCCAGCAAAGGACTCAACAGAGATTGGTGAGAAGGTAGGTTGATGTCAACTTTAAATTAGATAACATGTTCAAATTGGAATCCAATAGATAAAATATTTCTACAGTGAATAACTAAATTTAATATAGTATTTTACCGTAGGCCTATAATAAAGAATTTTTTTTCAATTACATTTTCTGTCCTTTTTGTAATAAAGCTTTTAAAACTTTTAAAGGTTTTATTTTTCTATGTTCTAGAGTTTTTTTTGTTTTGTTTTGTATTTTCAATGCTGCCACCACTGTAGTCAAATTAGGGAAGGTGTGGTCTAGCATGTGACTTTTAACATACAATTCATGAGTTTGTTTATTAGCCTCAAGTTCATCAAATAACAGCTGACCTCTAGTTCATCTATCTTGCTTTTAACTTTACTTACTTCTGAAGTCATTTGATTTACTTCACTGACCACTGTGATTACAGGGTATCAACTTGTCGGGGGGACAAAAGCAGCGAGTATCCCTAGCTAGGGCGGTGTACAGTGATGCTGAAACTTACCTGTTTGACGACCCACTGAGTGCTGTTGATTCACATGTTGGAAAACACATTTTTAAAGAGGTATTGAGCCACAGGGGAATCTTAAAAAACAAGGTAAATCCTGTCTTTCTAGTTAGAATATTTGTTTAAACATAAAAAAATTTAATACTTTGTCATCAGAACCTCAGAGAGTATCCAACTGAAAGGGTGCATCAAGTTTTGTTTATCTAGTTTTTCTAATATTATAAGAAACATTTTGTCAAAATAAAACGATTTAACAAGAGTGGTAACTGCTGTGTTCCGTATCTTAAAGGGATTCATCATACACCAAGGGCCACACTAATCTAAGATAGTTACAAATATTTTGCATGGCCATAAACTAGAAAATAGTATTCTAGTTCAAAGCTACTCCTAGTAGTGATTATAAAAAACATTTTTAAAAATTTTCAAACAATCAACAACCAGCTAGTTTTTTTCTTAAAATTTTTGTAAAAATTGTCTTTTGAATTCATTTGTTTTATAGCAATATAAAAAATATGTATTCAAGATCTTATTGCCAGATTTTTAAAAATTGTTCAATTAAAAAAATGTTCTTATTTGCAGACCAGAGTGCTGGTAACCCATGGTATTCAGTGGCTTCCCATGGTGGACCATATTATTGTGGTCACCAATGGGGAGATATCTGAAGAAGGCTCATATGATACATTAATGTCTCATGAAGGAGCCTTTGCCAACTTTCTCCATGAGTACTTCAGGAAGGAGGCAGATTCTGAAGTTGATGAGCAAAGCCAAGAAGATCCTGAAAGTTTGTTAAAATTTCATCATTAGTTTTCTTTTTTTCTGCTGAAATAGATCTACTTATACAAAAGTAATGAAATATTAAAAATGCACCAGTATACTGATTAAAAAATTGTTTAAACTTTAAGAAGCTTGGTAATGCAAAACTTCAAGGTGTAAGCAGTTGCTACTAGTATTTGTAGGCCTACATTCATTTTATTAATTAACACTTTATAGTATTTGATATTGCTCTTTTTGAAGGTAACTATAAAAAAGAAATATTTTTTTTACCATTTAGTTGCAGAAATAAAGAACCGAGTACTACAGCGGCTGGAGAGTGTTGTTTCTGAATCTGGGACCTCTGGTGATGAGAAATTCAGGTTTGCTTTTTTTTTTGTTTCACTAAATCTGAGGAGGAAAACTTTTATTTGTCATATTTCCTGTTTAAAAAGAAATGTGTTCATTAAATAATTGTAGTTTAATAAATAAGTTTATTGTTTTAGCAATATTAATTAAGAATAGCGTAATTATTTATATACTTTCAACTTTGTAAACAGCAGGTCAGGTGATATGAGTTCTTATGTTAGGAAAAGAAACTCATCAAGCCAACTTTTAAACACTAAAAGTGCTGAAAGTGTGCCAGATAAATTGCATGGACAGAGGTTGATTGAGGATGAAAAGACTGAGACAGGACAAGTAAGGGATAAGTCAGTTTATCATGTTAAAAATTTAAATGCATGATGTGTGGAGGCTTTAACAATACAGATTTAAATTTATCTAAACAAGTGAGTCTTGAAATGTTTAAATTCAGTAATTGGATCTGATTTATAATGCATGTGATACAACAAATAGTAAGAAATGGAACAGCTGTCATGATACAAGAGGTACAATTTTCATTCCTAACTCCTTAAGAACTAGAGATCCTCTGTTCTTTGATTAAGAAGAGTTTAAATGGGTGTGACGATTCCCAGCCTCTTCAAAATTAGGGCTTGATCTAGAAAGTCAAATCATCATTTGCTGAGAAATTCTGTGAATTAGCATCTGCAAATTTGTTAAATCCTTTTCATGTGTGTTTTTGAGACAGCAGATCCCAGACATGAGTCAGTACTATGTCCCTGAGTCCACCCAGCTCTGACGTGTACCTGGGCCTATTGCTAACCACATTATCTTTTCATATGTCAGAGTCACATAAACTATTTCATCTCCACCTTTACTTTACTTACTTTCATCTGTGTATAAGGCATAGGCCTACTCAGATTTGAAACTAAAGATTTATTTAAATTGAAACAAATAATTTTCAGGTTAAATCAAATGTGTATGTGGACTACACAAAAGCAGTTGGGGTCATGACCTTTGTTTCGATGACCCTAGTGTACATCTTCTTTCAAGCATCAGTCACATTCTCTGCCATCTGGCTGAGTCAATGGACAGATGATGATCTGTTGGCCAACACTTCAGCTGCTGGCAGTACAGAATTTGTCAACAAAAATTACATGTATCTTGGTGTATACGGTGCTCTTGGTGTTGCCCAGGGTAGGTTCAATATGTGAATGATATCTCCATTAATGTATAAAACATTATATATATATATATATATATATATATATATATATATATATATATATATATATATATATATATATATATATATATATATATAATATACAAAATATACACTTATATATATACATATATGTACAAATACAATTATATATAGATACAAATATTATTATAGTTTTACATGAACATGGACATATGTGTGTTCAGCTATTGTATTGAAAAAACCCAGATTTCACTTTTATAAATAATCATAAATAATTTCACTGTTAAATGGCTCTGATTTCAGGCATTTTCATTTTGGCCTTTGCATTGCTTGCTACAAAGAATATGGTGAAAGCTGCAGGCACCTTGCACTACAACCTACTAGACAACATCCTCAGAGCCCCCATGTCATTCTTTGACACCACCCCCATTGGTCGTATTGTCAATAGGTTCTCAAGAGACGTCGAGACAATTGATAACAGTTTACCTGGGACAATTAGAACATTTTACAACTGTGTGTTTGGGGTGCTGGGTACCATCGTCATCATATCCTACAGTACCCCACTGTTCCTGGTGGTCATTATTCCTCTAGGAATTATGTACTGGCTTATACAGGTTTGTAAATGTGTGCTGTTAGAAATAATGGACTAAGCTAGGAATACATCAAAAATGTTCTTGCTTTTCCTTTGTTGTTATCTTTTAATTGACTTGATTAGAGTTTTTAGTATAGCAAAAGTATGAGGTATTTTACCTTAATTATTCTTATATTTTCAGAGATTTTACATCCCTACATCAAGACAGCTAAAAAGAATAGAATCCACAACAAGATCACCAATCTATGTTCACTTCTCTGAGACTGTAGGTGGCGCTGCATCCATCAGAGCATATGGAGTGGGTGAAAGGTTTATCACTGAGTCAAGAGTTAGAGTGGACCATAATCTATCCTTCTACTTTGCCAGTTTGGTGGCTAATAGGTGAATTATTTTACTGCTCCTAAAGGAAAAAAATTATTATTTAATATCTGACAATATCAGTTTTAGGTAATTGAAAATAATTACTCCCTATTTGTAATGGTTTACTTGTAGTATTAAAATATATTCCAAATAAAAACAACTATCCTGAACTAATTTATCTTTTTAACTAGATGGCTCGGCTGGTGTTTGGAGTGTATTGGAAACCTCGTCATTCTAGCTGCTGCACTTTTTGCAATCATCTCTAAAGACCTGCAGGCAGGGCTAGTGGGCTTGTCAGTGTCGTATGCCACTGAGGTACAAATTTATGTTGGATTTCATTTGATACCTTACCACTAAGCATCTGTTTAAACCATGATGATTCAATCAGCTTTAAGTTTCTTTGTTACTAAAGGCAAGAAAAAAAGTCATTGCTGATATTTTAAATCTATTTTATCCAGACCCACAAATGTGTAAAAAAAAAAAAAAAAGTATTGGAAAAACAGCAAGACATTATGTTTTTTTCAAAAAATACTTTTCAGATAACAATGGCACTTAACTATCTAGTACGAACATTGAGTGAGCTAGAAACAAACATTGTTTCCGTGGAAAGATTGAAAGAATATGCTGAAACAGAGACCGAGGTAGGTCTATTATAATTGAATCAATTGTGCAACATTCTTGATGCAAACTAGCCTACTTTATTGTGTGCAATATATCATAGCTTAAAACCTTGTACACTTTCAGAGGCCATGGGTAATAGAAAACACCAAACCAGAGGCCAGCTGGCCACAAGAAGGCCATGTAAAATTTATTGATTACCAAGGGCGCTATAGGGATGGACTGGAGCTAGTTTTAAAGGGAGTTAATTGCAACATTAAAGGGCAAGAAAAGGTAATAGTCTCTGAGAAGATGAGCTAATTTGTACATGATTAAGTGAGATTTTGTTTAGTAAAAATTACCAGTGTTTTATGATTTAAAAAAAAACAACCGCTTACTCATATAGTTATAGAAAACAATTATCATATTTTCAATTATCGTTACAGTAGTAGCTTTCATGCCTTAAAAATCTTCACCAAGTGCTTTTTTTTATTTTAATCTTTTACCAATGCCCAATGCAGTTAATTCTCAACTAAAACCAATGTTGTTTAGATTGGTATTGTGGGGAGGACAGGAGCAGGAAAATCCTCATTGACTGTTGCACTGTTCCGCCTTATTGAGGCAGCTAGTGGCAGCATAAACATTGATGGGATTCCTATATCAGACATTGGCCTCCATGACCTGAGGTCCAAGCTTACAATTCTCCCACAGGTAAATTAACCTGAATATCTTTTAGCAATGTTGATAATTTTGTGACACCTATTTTTTTGTATTTTAATTCTGACATCTAAGTATATCTGATTTCTATCACAAATTATTTTCTGATTTCAGTATGAAGTATTTTTTCTGATTTCTATATAAACTACTTTTCTAATACAATATTTGGTCCTTATCAAGGACCCAGTTATTTTCTCAGGTACTTTAAGAATGAACCTCGACCCTTTTAATGAGCACTCTGATGATGCCCTATGGTCAGCACTAGAGCATGCCCACCTAAAATCATTTGTAGATAGTCTTCCAACAAAATTAAACTATGAATGTGGAGAAGGTGGACAGAACCTAAGGTACAGCATCTTTTAGTCACATTTTTTTTGTAATTTTTTAAAGTAATAAAATAGCATTTTTTTAATATTATATATATATATATATATATTTATGATAATAAGTAGAAGTCTAAAAGACTGTAATAATTTGCTACAAAACAAAAAACTTATACTTTTCAGTGTTGGCCAGCGTCAGTTAGTTTGTTTAGCCAGGACTCTGGTTCGGAAAACCAAAATTTTGGTGTTGGACGAGGCCACAGCGGCTGTTGACATGGAAACAGATGACCTCATTCAAAAAACAATCCGAACTGAGTTCAAGGACTGCACTGTTCTAACTATTGCCCACAGACTCAACACCATTATGGATTATGATAAGTGAGTTGTATTTCGTAACATGTGTTAAAGAAAAGAGAAAAAGCAGCACCTGTATTAGATAATGTTATCATTTTGTTTGCTTTTAGTTATTACAGTTTTTCTCATGATGTGTGATCATTCACTTTATTTTTAATAATACTCAGGAAATGAATTAGTATTATATTAATATATTTTATCATTAATTATATTATCCTTTATCTTTTTATTACATTATTTTAAAATACATTTTTTAATCACCTGTATCATGTTAGGCAACAAAAGCAACATTCAATAACACTGCTTAGCCTGTTGTCTCATCATGTAATTTTTAAAGATAATTATGAATAGAGAAATAATTTAAATATCAGCCAACTGTGTTGATCTTTTGAGTATGAATTATAATTTTATAATATGAACTTTATTTTGAAATATTCTCTAATATTATACTAAATATAGTTTGTTGTGTAGGCCCACATAGCTTATTGTTTCTTGTTTCAGGATTCTTGTGATGGACAAAGGCCGTGTGAGTGAGTATGACGCACCACAAGTTTTGCTTGCTAACAAGAACTCCATCTTTTATGGAATGGCAAAGGATGCTGGTCTTGTATGAACTTAAAAATCTTGTAAATTTGTTGTAAATCTTTTCTAATTATCATTAATGTGTAAGCTCAATGTCCAATTATTAATGGTAATGACTATGTAAAATGGTTGCATAAGGAAAGAAATAGTTGAATAATATTAATAATGAAATTTAAATATATATTTTTTAAAATAAAAGATGAGTATGCATAATAATAAATCTTAATAAGCTCATAAATAATTTTGTTTATTAACTCTCGAAATTAATTTCATATTTATTAGCATTATAAATACCATATTACTTTATTTACAAATACCATGTGTTCTATTGCTACAAAGTGGAACAAACAAATACTGCTGTTGACCTGATGAAAACAATAATATACTGTCATTACTTACAGTATCAAACAACACTTCTTTAGATGTGGTAACTGGCTCTTTAGAGCTACTCTTAGAATGTGATATCATTTAAGTTTATGGTCTTGTTATTATTTCAAGATTAGAAAATTATAGTAGCCAAAGAAATGTAGCTGAGTGATATACTGTTAATTTATTTTTAGCCTGTAAGTTCTATACATAGCTTTTTAATAAAGAATATTTCTTTAAATAAAAATGTAATTAAAATTCCTGTTGTTTCTTTTGTAGTCATGTTTGAATGAAATAAAAATATTAATAGGGCACTTTGAAAGCCGATTTCTGCTGATGTAATTAAGTATACTCTCAGTTGTAGAGGCAGGATTCTGCATGTTCATAAATTATATACTGTCAGAATGCTTGCATTAATTAATTTTAATTATGTTGAATCGAGAAATAAAATAAATTACAATTATCTTTCTCTTTACGTTAATTCAATTAAGAAATTGTAGAAACATTTACAAAGATAAAGTTTTCTATTTTATTTTCATTTATTTTTTCATTACAAAAATTTTTGAAGATAAATTGTACACTCTGGCAGGGGGATGTCAGAGATTTCTGTCAATGTGAGATGTCAGGGTAGTGGAGTGTGTACAGCTCTTTCAACTTTCTGATGACACTGTCAGCCACAACATGATAACAACAATAGAAAATTTCTCCACGCCAGTTGTAGAAAAATTTAATTCTCACTCTCTGGGAATTAGTGTAAATTTGTAATTTACATTTAAATTAGACATGTGTATATAGAATTAGAAATCAGCCAAAACATCACATGACATAGTTTGTCTGTTTACATATATTTCTCTTTAGATTGAAACTATAGGCCTACAGGACTAATAAATCACATATTAAACACCTATTAACAACATATCCCAAACATTTTAAAAAATAGTTGCTGGCACTCAACAGGCTCACACTATGTATAAATCTGTCAATTGCAATTTTTAATATCTAACACACAATCAATAATTGTTTTTAAGCAATTTTTTTAAAAAATTAATTTTATAGAAAAAGCAAAGAACAAAAAAATATTACAGGTGCTATTAGTATTACTAAATTGTATTGAACTCTTAATTCCCTTTGCATAAAATCATGATGCATTAACATTGAGGAATTTTTAAAAAGAAGTTCATATAAAAATTACAATACAATTTTTTTAAACTATAGCGCACCGACTCTTAATTACATTTATAAAGTTGTTTTTTTTTAATCAGTATGTACCCCTGAGATTTAAAACAATGATTATTGAATTCATCAGCTAGCATCACTATAGTCCAAGCTTAAAGCATAATTCTAAATCAGGCTATGACACATAGCATCTGTCAGTTTGAATAATAAGCTTAGCTTTATGTTTCTATCCTGAGGTCACAAGGTGGGAAAGAAAGTTCTTGTTAGATTTAAAATGTTAAAAAATTGTCAGCAATATCTTTCACATGTTAAGTGTATTTTTTTTTCAACCAGGTATTGAAATTGTAGTTTCATGTTTACATCAGCCAGGATTAATAAAATAAATGTTTCATTATTCATCAAGTGATGTATGGTGTATAAAATAAAATTGTAGACAAATGCTACAGTTTTTCCCTGTAAATAATGTTACAATAAACTAACACACAATTTAGCTGTTTACAAAAACAGAAAAAAAAACAATGCACACAATTTTAAACTTTATTTAGAGTTAAAGATAAGTTAAACTATGTTTAAGTTAACAAGGGACTAGAGAGTGCTGCACCAGAGTCAAACAATTACATCTCCAACAATGTAGGATTATTGAAAATAAAAAGGTACTTTACATTACAAAAACAATTTTAGCCAACATATTTTAAAATCACTTTAAGACTGCTCTTATATTATAAATTTAAAAAACTATTAGTCAAGTAAATGTATCTGTATCACAATGGGAATTCAATAACATTTGTATCTCACTCCTAGACCTGAACAAATTACAATCTACCTATTCAGGAATCTGTGCTATGTACTGTACCTTTCCAGTGCTATCTGTAAAAGACTGCACAGTTGCTATAATAGGATAAACAGTACCATCTTCTGCTGTCCTTTCTATGTTTATGGTTGTTCCTTGTAGGTCTATATTATTTAGATTTTGTGGTAATGCCAACTGGGCTATTGTTTGTAGGGCTTCCTCTGTGATTCCTCCATCAGCAGTAAGTGTAAACAATGGCTCTTCTGAAATCTCTCGTTTAGGTACCGGTGCAGCTCCAATGTTATGCAGTTTGTGATTGTGCTCTTTAAGTTTATCATACCGAGTGGTTGAAAATGAACAGAGTTTACAACTAAAAGGGCGTACATCTGTGTGTAAAAGCATGTGTCTGCGCATGTTTTTGATGAGTGAGAAACTCTGGCCACAGATGTCACACTGGTGAGCCCTTTCATGAGTATGAGTAACCATATGATACTTCAGATTCTGACGCTTGGTGGCTTCAAACCGACAGCCTTGGACAGGGCATTTAAACATATGGCCAGTATGGATAAGTTTATGGGCTTTGAGCTGAGATTTGTGGGCCGTTGCATATCCACAGACATCACAGAGGTGGTCCTTAGTAGCACTGTGTGTAATCATATGGTTTTTCAGAGCATGTTTCCATTTGAAGCCAGAGCCACAAATGGCACACACAAATGGTTTCTCAAGTTGGTGTTTTGGTTTGTGGGCAAACAGCTGATTTTTTGTTTTGAATCTTGAATCACATTCTTCACAAAAATATGGTGTATCCCCCTCATGTTTTTTGGCATGTTCAATAAATTCTTCTTTAGATTCTGCTCGATGTTCACAATATGAACAAATCAGTTCTTCTACCATATGTTTTTGCTTGTGCGCATTAAATTCTCTTGACTTTGTTGTGTTAAAATCACACTTTTCACAAACAAAATATCTAGGATCAGTTTCTGGGTGGGATTTCATATGCTGACGATAATCCTTAAATAATGAAGATGAATAATTACATTTAACACAAACAAACTTAATATTTGAGGAGTCACCTTTTGAAGAGTGAGCCTTTGCATCTTCTTCAGATGTTCCAAGTGCATCTGAATCTTTTTCCTGTTGTGCACGACTTTTTTTAGTAAGTGAATGCATTATGAAATCTTTTTTCAACAAAGATGGCTTAAACCTGACTCTGCAACTCCTCCATCTTGAATTTGAAAGTATATTTTTACCAGGTTCATTTTTTATTGGTTGTATTTCCTGAGAATCTTTTGACATTGTCCCTTCATCTATTGTTTCATCTAAAACACTTTTAGAATCACTTTTATTTACGTTAGAATCAGTCACAGAATTGGTTTCTATTTCTTGTGGTACAACTGTGTCACCTCTTTCAAGGCGATTAATAAATTCTTCAAATTCTGGGTCACTCTCTGGCTGTTCTTTAGCTTTGCGTGGTCTACCAGGCCTTCTTTTTCTTCCTCTTCCACGACCTCTGCCCCTCCCCCTGCTCCAAACTCTGTTTGATTTAGATTGAAGCAATGCAGTTGTAACAGGATCAAATATGACTAGGTCAGATATTTCTTCTAGATTGAATTCTTTCTGTTGATCCTGTGGTGGATAAACTGAAATAAGTGGTGTCTGTAAATCAATAGTGTTTGTGTTTGACTCAGGTATGATTTCAGGCAATGTAGTGTTTTCTAACTCTTGTGATGATTTTTCTACTGTAATGTTCATCATATCAGCTAGAGTTCGAACATTATTTAGACAATCATCTGTCTGTACATTTTTTATGAAAGTACCAGTATCAGAACTATTCAGTGATGAACTATTTTCAAGGGATGTTGTACATGAAATTTTCTTTGAAAATGAGTCAGCTCCTAGATCATCTGGATCATCTACTTTAATAACTGGTCTAACATTACTGATAGCAAGAAGAAGGGATGCGTCATTCTGATCAACATTCTCAATGTCAAAACAGATTGGCTCAGGCAAAATTTCCATTGCACTTTCTTTTTCTTCAGAAGCTTTTAGTTTCTTCTCTTGTGGTTGATTAGTATCATATTCAGAACATGCCTGTTGTGCATATGTATCTATCTGGTTAATATTGTGCTTTTTGATTGACTTTAATGGTTGAGAAGAGGAAGAACATGATTTCCTAACATGGAGAGAACCTGTCTGCTTTATTTCTAACTTTTTAAAGACACTTTCCTCTGTTTCTGTTGAGACGTCTGCATGTTTAATTGTTTTTGCACGTGATCCTAATAAATTAGCTATCTCCTGTAACCCTGTTGTGCATGTTGCTTTATCTTGTGGAATATTATCATCTTCACCAAATTGATATCTCTCACAAAACTGAAGAAGCCTATCCATCTGCATTATCTTCCCAATTTCTATTATTTGACAAACTAATGAGGTAGTTAAATTAATCTGACTAGTGTACATAAATTCAACAACTTTACTAACTGCTTCTCCATAACCACCATCCCCATCCTTCGATTCAATATGTATTTCAATAATTTGTGGATGTTTTTGAGAAAACATTCTTGGGCAATCAGCTCCAACGCCTAAAAATGACCCAAAGTAGGGGCTTGCCGCAGCTAAAACATTAGAATGGGCGTATATTTGGGTTCCAGAAACTCTTAAAACTACATCACAAAAGTGTGAGTAATTTCTTTGGTCATTCAGAGCAAGCAAGTTTCGTTTTAGAAGATCTGGATCGTGAAATGTCCCGTTACGAGTGATGTACGACGCCATCTTGGGGGAGCCTGGTGGATTTTTTAGACAAGTGAGAAGTAATTTTTAATTCCTCCTTTTTAAACGCAATCTTGTTACACAATTTAAACGGCATAAAACTGCCACAAAATAAATTGATAACAAAGTTAATGAGTTGGATAATTGCATATAGAAGCAATATACTTGTGTAGCTTCTCCCTATTTAGTGCGGCTCTATAAACCGGAAATAGATTGTGTATAGACCGGAAGTTTACATATTTAATAAAACAAAAACAAAATATTTTTCGCCCAACTGACGAAAACTTAAAAACAAAATCAACACTCGCTAAACACTGCTAAACACTAAACAGCATCTAGAATCTAAATTTAGATTCTATGTGTAGAAACTACACTAGTGACTATATATATGACCACCCAATAATTTCCGACGCTATATCGTGATTTTACCTATATGACTATATGTCACTAGGATATATAATCATAAAGGTCTAAAGGTGCACCGTCAAACAAAACTATCCATGACAAAACAGCCCCGACAAATAGTTGAAACTTGTGAAATAGACTCTCGACATAATTCATAATGATAATAATAATATATTAAAATTTAAATTATAGTATAGGCCTATATAATAAATTATTAATAATAAATAATATTGATAAATAATAATAATAATTAATTAAATAAATAGGCCTAGGGCCTATTTGTAATAAAAAATAATTTTAAAATAAGCCTTATTCAGTATTCTTATTATAAAATATAAATTATTTATATTTTATATTTAATTATTTATTATAAGTAGGCTATAATAAGATAACTCTATCATTTTAGGTGCGTAAAATTTAATATCGGCACTACACTAGACTAGTAATGTGCGAAAAAGTTGCCTCATTGTTAAGGCGCTATATAATATATTATATATATATATACTATATACTATATAGAAGTATATTTGTGTCAAATATTATAGATAACTGAATAAAAAACCAACATGTGGTGTTGAAGTTTAGCTTTACACTTTACATGATACATATTATAGAGGTGTAACTTAAGTTAGTAGGACCTCCTTTATAGTTGGTTATATAATGTAGCCTTCTACTCTTACGTAATATGTATGTACTTTTAAGTAGTATACTATTTAGGCATACTTTAGTGTGTAGGCGTACACTTAATGACTAATAACATAAAAAATGTACTGTAAATAGTATTAACTATTAAAATTTAAAATGCTATCTGTTCTATAAATGCTTTGTAATCACATCTAAAATATTAATAAGTTAAAATTAATGAAAATCTAGAAAATCTGGAATGTTGCCAGTTTGTAATGCAGAGACTACATCAAGAAAAAAAAAAGATGTCTTGATTTAAAATTAAAATATAAAAATAAAAAAAAAGCAAAGGAAACCAGAAATTATATTAAGTAAGAGTAGCAGTGTTTAGATCTATATGCATTGCAGTTTTAACCCATAAAAAATGTAATTGAAATACAAAAACCATACTTGCACTATAAACTTCATCAGAGATCATTTCCACTATCGTCTGACAGCATGCTATCACTTTGACTGTTGAATTTTCTTTTGTCTTCAGTACTTTTTTCTTTTTTTATTACAGAAATCATGAACTGCACACAGACTACTGCTATCAAAGTTCCTGTTGGGCACATTTTAGTGAATTCTAGATGGTCCAGAAGTGATATAGCTAGTGCTTTACAGGGTTAGAACCTCTCAGACGCTAGTCATTATACTTTTACTTTACTTAAATAACTTATTAACTTACACTCTTGAACTTAAGGATCATACATTTATGGCATCCACATAAAGTAATAAATGTGTGTGTGCAAAAATCTCATTTCATGACAGTAGAAAATGATGTAACATGACAAGACAAACAACCATATAAAAGTTATGCAATCTTATTTTTTGTTATGATCTCTTGGTTTCTTTTGAATAACTTAAGTTTACTAAAAGTAATACATTATTTACAGCCACCATAAAGTAATAAATACAATAATTACAGCTACCATACCAGTGCATACTGAGCAGACAACAAGTGCAGTAGATTTTTACCCCTCTTGTAATACAGGGGTAGTGTACATCTCTGAGGCAGACATTATTGAAGGATGTGCATATAAAAGAAAAGTTGCAAGATTGCGAAAGGTAAAGCTGTAAAATCATTAGGTTTTTTAAATAAAAGATAGAATGTTAAAAAGTAAAAATGTTTAGGCACCATGTGTTACAGAGTGCAAATTTTTGTGTTTATGCTAGCAGTAAAGCATTAGTGGCTAACAAGAAAGTCATTATTTATAAAGCTGATTTAAATAAAAGGGAAAAAGGAATAGCCTTCCCCCTTTCACCGCAACTGGATTGAAAACTGTAGTGAAATATAATATTTTTAAGATATTGGGGAAATAAACTAAAGCATGTTTGGTATTGTTTAGGTCTATTACAATTTCATTATTGCAAGTTTCAAAACAATATTTTTTTTAAATGTTATTTATATAGGTGTTATGGAACATGTAAACTAAACCTACATAATAAATGTGGTGTTTTTAAGGCAAAAAATCTACATGGTATAGTAATTGTGGAGAAAACACTGACATCATCACAGTACTTCCATGACATCCAAAAATTCTGTGTTACTGAACTTGGCCTTGACCTTATCCCAGTGAGCAATCAAAAGGAAGCTGCCAGCTTTTTGATTCAGTTGGTAAGTTAAATTTATATTTTATAGTGACCAATTTTCAAATACATGTGACTGTATAATGTAGAATAGGCTATTTTTATAATTCATTACTTCAAGTTTACTGGAAACAAAAATTGTAAGATGAATATAAAATTATTTTTATAAAGTAAGTTATATGAATGACAGTATTTCTTTTTAACTGTTGTATTCAGCTTGTTGCATCTCATGTGTATGTTTGTATTAGGTTTGTATGGAAAGTCACCTGGACAACAACCCCTACATGAAACCTTCAGCAGCCCATTGCAAAGATCCAGCTGTACTAACCACTCTCACATCATGTCCTGGGTTGGGCAGCACTAGAGCAACAGCTTTGTTAGAAAAATATCCAAGTAAGATCTTCCAATTAATACCCAGTATAATTTTCTTTTTTTTTCTTAACCCCTTTTGTCCTGTTAAAATAACCCATGACAAAACTTTAAAAAGCAAAACAATTTAAAACTTAATTAAAGGACCAATAGATGCCTGATATGGAGAGGGTTAACATAAACATTTGTTAGTTTAGCTCTTTGTTCTGAACATCATTGTTGTTGTTTGGGTTCCCAGTGGACCATAAGGCCTTCAAACTAATGCTATTTTTCTCTCCAGGATTTGCATGTCTACTGCCTTCTGTCCACACATCCCTTCAGTTTTCTATATTTCTTAGGCATCTTTTGATAAAAGTCTGGATTTTTGTTTGTTGTTGTTTTTGTTGTTTTTTTTATTCAATATCATGTTTTTTATTTATTATCATCAGGTATTAATGCAGTATGTAAGGCTACAATACAGGTAAGTGACATCCAATGTAAATATTGTTATTGCGTTGTAATTATTACATTATCTAACAATGCCCAAAACTTTTTTCACTAAGTTGTTCTTTTGTTTTTTAGGAGCTATCTGCAGTCATAGGAAAAGCCAGTGCCTCCAAGCTGTACACTTTTCTACATGATCCTACTCAACAAAAATAAAGAATGTTACAAGAAATTCATGTTTCTGACCTTATCATTTTTAAAGCAAACTTGTGCCAAGTAGAAAAGTCTTGCCACACATAGATATCAACATAATGTTAGCTACAAAATATTAGTCTGATATCTCTTTATAAAAATAAACTAGACGTTTATTTAGCAAACTTTAAGATGCCAGCCTATTGTATAAAAACATGGATTAGGTTCCTTTAAAACTAGTAGGCCTATGTTTATTTAGCAGACATCTGGTGTTTGCTCCCTTTATCCAATCATTCTTTTATTAAATTTATTTACCCTAGGTCCATATGCTCAGCCTCTTTCCCTATTTATTATACTACATATCTGTTTGTATTCGAAAAATTAAATATAATTTTATTTCTTTGTCTTCTTTCTTGTGGATTTATTTGACCTGTAGACCTACATAAAGAAACCCAAAAATTACTAAGTTATCTCCCTGTTCTGTCTGTTTCTTTCACCCTCTAAAGCAGTTGGTCAAGAATAACAATGTTTATAAGTGCTGCCTGTTAGTATAAGACCAGTTTCACAGCCAAGATTAACGACACTTGAAAGTGCGATCATGATCACATCTAGGAAACTGCTGATTTTATCAACATGCTCATCAATGGTTGTTTATTTGCTTTAAATTCTAAATAGTTTGTAGCAAATGGCCTACATTAAAAATGTGCTTTACATCAGATCAGTTTGTCGTAGGAATTTAGTGACATGTCTAGGCTACGTGGGAGTGCGTCACTCGAACAAATGTCACGAATGTGACTAAAGGGTTGATGTGTTTTAATACATTCTGATCACACTGAAGTCGATCTATTTCACGTTAAAGTATCCAGGTTGTGCTTGCCCATATCCCAGTAAAGTTATCGTTCACATGTGCATGTTGTTTGAAAACCCAACTTTGACAAGTGACGAATAGAAAAACAACTGATATGGACCTCCAAGAAATGGCTACTTGATCATAGAACAATTCGTCGACAGAATAAATAGAAAACCATAACAGAATTTTGGGACATTTAAATTATAATTTTCAAAACATAATAGTGTACTTTCTGCTGCTGATTACATGAGCACATTTTATATACTACCGGCTGGAATAGGACGTTTCGTCCCCTTCTCTTTTCACTCCCCAAGTTGTATTAGAGTTTAGACCTATTCCTACGTCTGGATTCTGACTACAAAAATTATCTAATTAATCCCCCTAATTATTAATTCCGTCCATCCGGTTTTCTCCAGCTTACCGACAACATCTGTAGAGGGCCAAGAATTTTGTCAGTTTGATTGATGGCCGCCTCATCGATGGCCGAGAGTGAACACCTTCTGAGTAACATTTTACCTGACCAGCGATCAACAAGCTACGCGGCCTGGGGCTGCTTTTCATTGAATTTCGTCACACTACATGAAACAGTACAACATGAACGCCAGCGTGTTTCTGACGTGGGCTTTTGGCATGGAAATATTTTCGTTACAAACTGTGATGTGAATAGAATTCCAGTTTAACAAACGTTTTGAAAAGACTCGTCTGAATACGTTTAAGCAGTAGATCTGTAAGTCAGTTTTGTTAGCAAATGGTGCAAGAGTTTTTGCTCAATCTGCACAACTAGCACATACATTGTTTCAATCTAAGTTTAAGTGGAGTTCATCAATCGGATACTTGTAACCTGAAGACAATGTTTGACAGCATTTGCTACTAAGGATATGTATTGGTAATCAACTGGGTAATCTTTGAGAAGGTAAAACTTAATGTTTTTCTTTACCGTACCTTTTTCGACAAGTTAGGGCTGTAATATTATCAGAAAATAACACCAACGCACATAAAATTGCGCAGAAATGTATAACAATATTCATTATTTTTTTGTCTAGTGAAATAGGAATTGCGGCTAGCCTTCATTTGACGTGTTCCAGATTGTTATGAATGTTGGGGGGGGGTATACTTTAATTATATCGGGTTTATTTTTAAACACTTCACAGCTTTTAGTTTTCTTTATTTTTTCTTCCAAAAATTTCAGCTTGGTTGGTCGGGTGGTGTGTGTGTGGGGGGGGGGGGGGGGGGGTAGACATTGTTTATAAAATAATTTGCAAATGTTAAACAGGTATAACTTTAGAAGTATGGGTGAGTTAAAATGTTCTCTCTATACAACAAAGGCAGTGTCCCTTAGTTCCACAGGATTGTGAAGATTTTTACAAGGACAATGTAACTTTCCCACATAAACATGATAGCTTTATTGTACCTTAGGGGCCATCCATAAATGACGTCACGCTTTTTTGGACGATTTTTACCTCCCCCCTCCCCTCCGTCACACGTCGTCACAAAAAGCCAGACCCCCCCCTAAAATGAGGTCACACCTCAACCTACAACCCCCCTCAAAATTGCAGTTGAATTTTTTTAAACATCGATATTTTTCCAAAATCTTGTCTAAACTATTACAATTTATTAAAAAAGTTATCTAAAACGCGTAATAATGTCTAAAATTCGTTTTCTAACATTGCTTTTTTATAATGCAAAAATGTGACGTCGCAATATCTGAACCCCCCTCCCCCTCATCACACATCGTCACAAAATTATGGACCCCCCCCCTCCCCCCTACGAGTGTGACGTCATTTATGGATGACCCCTTAATGATAATTTAAAATAGAAAATATGGCTGTTTGTGCCAGTCAATTCATTTTGGTCGGGGTGGCTTTATTTTTTCAGTTCAACATTGTCTACTACATGTTTGGGATGGCGGGAGGGGGGGGGGGGTCTCATTGCAAAACGGAACCAGATGATTTGATAAACAACTGGTCAGTGAAACCATTAGTGTATCTTCTTGATTTCATGCGCTAATTTGAAGGGGGTAATGCTAATAATTTTTTTAGATTGCTACATTAGATACGCAGAATGGGTCGGCGTGGTCGAGTCGGTAAAGCTCATGGTTGCTAAACCGAAAAGTCTCGAGTTCAAACCCTCGTTTGAGGTTCTTTAGCTGGGGACAGCCACTCTTCTGGGAGAAACAACTCCAAAATGAAACAACTGCTGCCTTGTAGTTTTTTCTTGGTTGGACAAACAACAAGAAAAGTAGGCTGAAAACGGAGTCAATGGCCACAATGGCACATAACCAGTTGACACGTATACTTAACTGTGTTGGAGAGGATCCCTTCCAACTCTAAACATTAAGAACGAAGAAGAAGTAAGAAGTAGATACCCAGATTAATTAAAGCAACTTTAATGAGTTTGTGGTTAAGTTGCCCTTTCGGCCCTGAAGGTCAATTGGGCAGATAAAACAGAGTCCACCTGTGTGTTTCTGTGACTTCAGCGAATACAGTGACAGTGTGATCAGCACTCAGCCCTTATCGTGAGTCAGGCACCCATCAGAGCTGGGTGGACTCGGACTTATTACGAATTCCAACCCGGAGTGCGAACTCGAGTATTCGGGTTAGCACTCATTAGCTCTAACTTGATTAGTACAGCTAAATAGAATTGCTTGCGCATTTTATCCATCACTCTGCAGACAAAAATCAAGATGTATAGAGGCTTCCCCAGATATTTCGTTTCCTCGCGAACGCCAGAAGCAGAAGCGTAGCGAGGGGGGTGCACCGGGTGACACCATTTAGGGGGGGGGGGGTGACACCAAGACAAAAAATAGTAAAATATAGAGAGAAAAATTTGAGAGGGGGTTGCAAATCGAAAGTTTGAAGGGGTTGCAAATCGAAAGTTCGAGGGGGGGTGCAAATCGAAAGTTTGAGGGGGGGGGAGGGGGGGGGGGAGCAAATTGAAATTTTGTCCCCGGGAAGAGTCGCTACGCCTCTGGGGGGGGGGTGACACCATTAAGTGCCGCACCTGGTGACACCCGACCTCGCTACGCCACTGACCAGAAGTAAAAGAATAAATATGTCGAGTTGTTGCAATTTTTTTTTGACAGTATGCCTATACGTGTATGCCTAGTAGAGTCTGAATACCATCCAGACTGATAAGCAGGGGCGTAGCGAGGGGGGGGGCGGGGGGGCGGACCGCACCGGGTGACACCATTTAGGGGGGGGGTGACACCAAGGCAAAAAATAGCAAAATATATATAGAAAAACTTGAGGGGGGGGTGCAAATCGAAAGTTTGAGGGGGTGGTGCAAATCGAAAACTTGAGAGGGTGCAAATCAAAAGTTTGAGGGGGGGGGGTGCAAATCGAAAATTTGAAAGTTTGTCCCCGGGAAGTGTCGCTACGCCTCTGGGGGGTGACACAATTTAAGTGCCGCACCGGGTGACACCCGACCTCGCTACGCCACTGCTGATAAGCAATGTCTTAGTCTTACACGGCCGATAGTGCTAGGGGTATCGGTATGGGGATGCGAAGGTGTCGCTGAAATTGAATATACAGAACTGTTTAGAAAAGTTATACCACACTACGGCAAAGTTTTCATGGAAAACAAATCGAGCTAGTTTAGGAACATTCATTTAATTTACACTGAACGTTTTTACAGCCAAATGTTTTGTATTAAATGACCTACACGAAAAGACACTTTTTCACTTGATGGGTATTTAATTACCAACCCCTTTTTAGCTTTAGGTAAATAGTAAACAACGTACGTAGGCTTGTATAGTACAGCCTTGACCATTCCCATTCCGTTGATTTTGATTTATGGGAACTGACAATGACCACGTTCGCCACTAAAGTCACGTGATTACGTCCACGTGATCGATTGATTGACCTAATCGACATGCCGACTGTCACACGTTTGTATCTCTGTTAGAATCGTCGATAGAAGTTAGAGGTGGGGGTCGGGTGGGGGGGGGCTACCTATCTCCCTGGGTTTGGTCTAGAGGAGTGTTGTGTTGACACATGAAAGGGAAACACAAATCGCGAACAACTTACTGTCACCTTTGAAGCTGGTTAAGTAGATTTATATTTGACCCCTTTAAAGATGATCAAAATGATTGGGGATAGGCAAACAGGTACAAGACATTTTGGAGAAGTTGGCGTTGCTAAGGGATGAGGCAGAAATAACCTACTTTAGCAAAAAGACAGTAAACTAGGAAAAATGAGTAGGCCTAGTATCTTAGTCTTAGTTTAGAACAAGTCTATAACAAATGTTTTAATCAAGTATTTTTTTTTTGAACTGTCACTTGTGAAGTGGACATTTTTACACTGAATTACGCATTTTCTAACCATTTAAAAAATAAACAGAATTATTTAAGCAAAGAATTGAGTTGATCTTGACCATAAAGTTAAGTAGAGCAATAATCATAGCTAATGTTGTTGGTCCTATTATAATTGGAGAAAGGACCTACATAGATCTAGTCAGGTTTCTGGAAGACTCAATTTCTCAGGAAATTGTTGACAGGTGAAATTTAAAATCTGGTAGGTTAAATATTTAGCGAATATTTGTGAAAGCAGACTGCAGTATTTTTTAATTTCTTGATTCTTACAGTGAATCATTAATAAATTTAATTCTCCGAAACTTTCCATGGCATTTTGGGGGCATTTTGGCTACATGTGTTGTTGTTGTTGTTTTTTTTAAATTTATTTTTGCATTGTGCATCATCTTAAAAAACACAAACACAATAATTACATTTAATTAAAAACCATTTAATTCAGTTATTTGGTCCTTTTAATTGAGACACAAGATATTATTAGCACAATATTGCTGACTATGAGCTATGGAATTTACTTTGATGACAGTGTGGTGTCATTGATTGATTATTTAATTACATTTTTGTTGACCAGGTGAAATAGTCAAGTGACTAGTGACCCATGAATGGGGTCAAACACCTTTTAATCTCTGACCACCAAGCTTATAAAACCAATTCGAACTTTTTAGCTGACAAAAAGCAAGAAGATATTTCTTATTTACAATGACTACGTTTATGATGCATAAGATAACCTATTTGTCGTTTTCCGCAGCTCTTATCGAAAGTTGTTTCCCCTGATTAAAAAATCTGCGGTTTTCTCCATGCCTTAGCCTTACTTTTTACCACAGTTGAAATTGAAGGCACTACTTCAATATTTAATAAAACAATTACGATTAAGGTCTACCCACCCATCTTCTACCACAATCCCCTAGTAGATTACTGAATTGTTATATAATACGGCATTCCCAAATTATCTGTAACAAAAATCTAACGACGGAACACCACTGTCTTCATTACCAAACATAACCTTCTCTAAGCTTCCGCTGGGCTGGATTAATGAACAAAATTAAACATGGGTATTTGTCCTTTCCCTCCCTGACCCTTGGACTAATAGTGTAGGTGCACGTGCAAGCTAACGAGTTCAAAATAATATGATAGGTTACCATGACAAATTGGGGTTGACCAGCTGGGTAGCCGATCCTCAGGTCACCAAGGCGAAGGTCATAAAAAGTGAAATCTCTGATTCCTGTGTCCACGACCGTACGATATAACCAACCAGTTTCTGCTTATATTATTATAAACACATAACACAGGGGATGTTTATTATTGTAATAATTCAAACGGATACTTTTTGTCTTCGTCAGAACTTCTGTGTGATATTAAAACATGGGTACTCACATTCTGGGGAAAATACATAACTTTGGTATTTATCGTAAAGGTGGAAAACGATGCATTTTGCAGGTGAGTAAAATTAATAAATTAGCTTGAGTGAAAATGTAGGCCTCTACCAGGGGTACAGAGGCGCAGTAGACTGCTACCTATCGTTACAGACTTAAGCCTCCTTCTCATGCCATAACTGTATGCCACATCATGTGATTTAGCAATAAGATGAGTTATATTTAAATACATATTTATACATATTTAATGACCAAAACGCGTGATTACCCTTATATTGCCTTATAATCAATGTGAGTACTTTTTCAGCTGGACTTTCCAGGCCGTATATTGCTTATTATCCAGAAAGGTCATATCAAGAAAACGTTTAATTTCCATGCACTGGAGCATTATGATTCCGAAGTCAGTTTTAGTGGTAGTTCTTTTTTCTCTTAAAAATCAAATTCTCTATTAAAATAGCCTACACTACACTAGCGTATTATATTCAGATGTTAGTGCTAACTGGTAAAGCTTTACAAAGCATCCACGAGTTGTAAAATGTAAAATGTGAACTTGATTTAACAAAACAATCTGCAGGAAGGGCTCCACATATCTCTTAAGTTGAGAGACTCCGTTGTTGACTTTGAAGCCGACAACATAGAGGAGAAATACACAATATGTCGTCTGCTGGGATTTATTGTACAGCTGGGACATGGAGAGGACGATGAAAGTAATTTGCTATCTTTTACTAGATCCATAGGACCTGTTATCTTTATTTTATCATATAATCTTATATAACCCTCATTATCACAGAAGCTATACATTTCATAATTTATACAAAGAATAATGTTAGTGTCGATGCTAGCCATTGATAGGAACTGATTTGTGTCCCTTTTAGGTATTGATTCTGGACAAGGTTTGTCTTCCTTTGGAGATCACTCTATAGAAGGTGCAGATGTCATCAAGGATGGATTGCTAGAGAAAAAAGGACACACTGCTATCACCATCTGGAACAAGTAAGTCTCTTTTATTTAAGGTAGAAATTTTCTACCAACCTTATCCATTATTTCTTTTTATAGTTTCACAACAGTTTTCTCATTTGTTCAATAGACGAAGAGTGAAGTTAACGCCAGGGGAATTTTCCTACTACAAGCCAGGAGAGGAGGTTAGACTTTGATTGTCTTATAAGTCATCTTAACAGCTAGTCCAATTAAACATTTCAATTGTTCAGGTGACCATCATAAAAATGGAATCAAAACATCTATTTGTAACAACTAAATCTAATCTGTTGTAATTGATTCTATACAATATATCATTATTTGTAAAGTATATTGTTCCCTGCATTCTTGAGATTTCTAATTATATCCATGTATCCTCTTTTCTCAGTAAAACTATTGCATGAAATCATCTTATCTCATTGAAACTATTTTATCAAATCATCTTGTACATGTGAAACTATTTAATCAAATCATCTTGTACATGTGAAACTATTTAATCAAATCATCTTATCTCCGTGAAACTATTTCATCAAATCATCTTATCTCCGTGAAACTATTTCATCAAATCATCTTGTCTCAGTGAAACTATTTCATCAAATCATCTTGTCTCAGTAAAATTATTTCATCAAATCATCTTATCTCAGTAAAACTATTTCATCAAATCATCTGGTCTCAGTGAAACTATTTCATCAAATCATCTTGTCTCAGTGAAACTATTTCATCAAATCATCTTATCTCAGTGAAACTATTTCATCAAATCATCTTGTCTCAGTAAAACTATTTCATCAAATCATCTTGTCTCAGTAAAATTATTTCATCAAATCATCTTATCTCAGTAAAATTATTTCATCAAATCATCTTGTCTCAGTAAAACTATTTCATCAAATCATCTTGTACATGTGAAACTATTTAATCAAATTATCTTGTACATGTGAAACTATTTAATCAAATCATCTTGTCTCAGTAAAACTATTTCATCCAATCATCTTGTCTCAGTAAAATTATTTCATCCAATCATCTTGTCTCAGTAAAATTATTTCATCCAATCATCTTGTCTCAGCTTGCCTTGAACATTGTCCAGCTGTGGCCAGAGCATACATCTTTAAAGAAGAATGGCCAGAATGGTTTTAGTGTAACAATCAGAGACAAGGTATACAGGTAAAGTAATATTTTTTAAAATAATAATCAGAGACAAGTTATATAGGTAAAGTAATATTTTTAAAAATAATAATCAGAGACAAGGTATATAGGTAAAGTAATATTTAAAAAAATAATAATCAGAGACAAGGTATACAGGTAAAGTAATATTTTTTAAAATATATAATAATCAGAGAAAAGGTAGACCCTATGTAGATAAAGTCATGTTTTAATATAACAATCAGAGAAGTATAGTGAAATTTTTGCTTTGAATATTCTACAACTGACCATTTAATTTATTTTGACATTTTATTTGGCATATTCAATAGTTTTCGAGTGCCAAGTGAGTACAAAGCCTTGCAGATGACAGAAATTATTAGAAATGAGTGGTTTGTTGTGAGTATGGATACACAAACTTGCTTTTTAAATTGCAAATTAAAAATATTTAATAAAACTAAAAACAATAAAAATGACATTTAAGTCAGGAATTGAAATTAATTTTGAAATTTTATCTCAATCTCTTGTACTACAAAATTTGGTTCTCCTGAAACATTTGCAGGCTTTTGACAGAGCCTTGAATTATGCTCCACCTAGTGCTAAAATCTTTGGTTCTCCCCACAACAACGCCAGTGATGGAAGCAGTGATGATCCGGAACATATATATGACCTCACACCAGACATGACAGTATGATCTTAAAATTGGAATATAATTAGTACTAGTAGTATGCTTTTATTTAAAGGTCAATGACTAATTAGGTTATAATCCAAGTTATTAAAATTTGTCAATAAACAGAGCACTAGTCATTCAGAAATTTAATCATAGGTCCTACATGATGGATACCAATCTATTTTTTAATCCCTTCCTCAATTCATAATTTTAAAATATACTCTATCTTTATGCTCCATACAATTCTCAAGGTAATTTATTAACTAAATCAAAGTTTTGCAATCCAGTATAATGTGTGTACTGTCAATCTACTCTTCACATTTCAAACTTTAAAAAAATTTTATAAATAAATTTCAGGCTTCTGCTCAGAATATACTACAAGTTCCATCAAGTTCCAACAAGTAGGTTGTTTTTACATTAAAATGTATTGAATTTGGCTTGAATGTTAAGCAATAGAATTATAGTAGCATCATAATATTACATGACATAATTCTCAAGTTATTGTCTTCTTGTATTTGGAAAATATTTTAAAACTGTAAAAATAAGACAGTATAGTCTTAAACAATTGTAACACTAAACATTGTTTTTAATACTAACTTTGGTTTATAGTTTATCATTCATAAAATGATGTATGCAGCCATGTCATTGCAACAACTTTTGCCAATTCTACTGTTTTCCTTCTAGGTATCCACAAGGGGAGATAACTGCACACGTTACAGTTCATTTGAATTATGTGGATAAGGCTTTGCCAACTCCTCCTAAATCTCACCGGAGCAAGCATCACAGTCTAGAAAATCTTCTGTTTTCCCACAAAAAAGAACTTAAAGATGCAGACCAATCCCAACTGTCCTCATCTGACCATTCAGACCTCAGCGCTCACAGCTCATTAACAGATGATCACTCAGATGATGACAGCATTATATTTGGTTCAGCTGCAGAGCTAAGAGCTAAACTGGCAATGCAGGGGGGTAAATCCTCAGCCCTTAAAGCATATCGGGCTCAGAAAGACTTTAAAAACCAACACGGACAACGCAGCACACAGACAACTACCAAATTAAAGGCCTACAACTCTAAAAGCTTGGGTATAGATCAAACAAATGATTCCGCCCTTTCCACGAGTCCAGAGCCATCCAATGACAATCTCTCAAACAAACATTCATCCCAGTCAACTCTAGTGAAAAATTTTACAGATGAAGCCAGAAGAAAAATTTCATCCATTCCACCTCCCCCTCCCCCACCAACTACTCAAGTTGGTCTCACCAGTCCACCCCCACCGCCTGGTGGGCCTCCTCCCCCACCCCCTCTAATAAAACAACATGGATCTGTAAAGCTACGTCAGGTGCCAAATGTAAAACTCAAGCAAGTGCATTGGGTCAAAGTAAATAGTAGCCAGGTAGGTCTTACATTTTGTCAGCTTAAAGTAAAAGGTAAGTCTTACATTTTGTCAGCTCAAAGTGAAAGGTAAGTCATACATTTTGTCAGCTCAAAGTAAAAGTAAATCATACATTTTGTCAGATCAAAGTAAAAGGTAAATCTTACAATTTGCAGCTAAACACATTAAACTTGTTGTTACTGTTGTTTAGTAGTTTAGGCAGGGTGTTCATGTTATCTGTGTTTATATTTAGAATGTGATGTTTCAGATATCAGGTTCTATGTGGCATGATGCTCATGACATGACAGAGAAACTGGACCTTTCAGAATTAGAAGATCAGTTTTCAATACCAGAGAAGAAAAACATAGTTGTAACAAAACCAAGTAAGAATCCTTAGTATTTAAGTTCAATTGTAGAATTTATAAACAAAAATGCACTGAATACATTTTTTGAATTTAAAAAAAAACAACAGATTGCTATTTCTTTACTGCAATGAAAATTTGTAATTTTTTTGTATTTGTGTTTTTTTAAATTATTATATATTTTATTTTAAAAAATAATCTAAAACATCAAATGACATATCGGTTAATTTTTTGTAGAGCCTCAGGAAGAAAAACAAATGCTAGTTGATGCCAAGAGAGCACAGAACTTGGGAATCTTGTTCTGTGGTCTAAAACTGGACAGTCTGACCAAGCTGAATGATGCCCTCAACTCTGTCTCTGAACAAGATAGTTTCCCTGCTGATAAAATGGCCACCCTGAAGAGGTTCAGTCATTTAAATATTTTTGAAACATAAGTAAAACTTATGAGTAGAAACACATTAGGAAAATAGAAATTGAAATTTAAAAAAATTTTTACGAAAAGGTAAAAAGCAACATTTAAAAGATAAAATACATTTGTTCCATTGATTTATTTTGAGACATTACTGTAGCTTAGCTGTTTGGGCTTGGCACTCTAAGAATTATATATGAATTTTATTAATTTTATTAAATGTTTTTCTTTTGGAATTTCATTTTTAAACATCTTGGAAAATTTGTTGTTTAATTTAAAAAATCTGTTACCAATTATTAAGAGTGTGTACATGTTTTTATACCATCACAGCAACATTTTGCATACAAATAATAATCATTCAGTTTATCAAAGTTACATGAAAGTTTGCTTTAAAAACAAATACGCTCTTCAGATATCAACCAAATGCAGAAGAGAAGGAAATGTATAAGCTTTATGCAGAAAAACATGAGACGTTGCACGCTGCTGATCGCTTCATGTTGGAGTTGTGTGAGATACCTCAACTGAGTACAAGACTTGACCTCATTCTCATTTTATGGGAGTTTCCTGATCAGTACAAATATTTGGAAGAGGTAGATTATAATTAACACTACAATTAAAATAATAATGGCTGTGAATTTTAAAAAAAAATCGATACATATTGTTTTTCATTATATTTTTTAATAAAATAATTATCTAATTTTTCACATTACATTTGCAGCTTTTAAAAAAAATTGTAAACAATAGCTCAATTATTTGTCTTAGGAGGTTGATGACCTGCTGATGGGCAGTGATGAAATTTTATCCAATACTGACTTAACTACAGCACTAGAATACCTACTTGCCATTGGAAATTACATGAACTCATTGTGGAATTCACAGCATGGAATCCAAGGGTTTCAACTGTCTTCTTTAGATAAAGTGAGTTATTCATTTTGGAAATCATTCCTTTTAAGTCAAAACCTTTTTTAAAAAGGTTTATTGTATTAAACATAGTAAGTTAAAACTTTCAAGACCCAAATTAGAAAACTTAATTACAATACTTTTAATTGGAAAAATGTAGTATTAATTAACAATATGATAATGAATTCTTGTCACAAGGTACTGAGTATAAAAGGCAAAGACAACAAAACTACAATTTGTACATACCTTGTCAAACAACTAAAACGAAACAACCCTTCTCTCATTGACTGGCCTAAGCACATGAGTCACGTGACTAAGTGTGCTGGATACTCTGTTAAGGCTGTTGGAGCTGAAATTGATGGTCAGTCTAATTTTGTATTAGTTTTTCACAAGGTAGCCAATAAAATAGTTTTTGAAATAATCTTAATACCATGTTTATTTAGTTATGAATTAAAATTAAACAGAAGAAAAATTATACTTGCATATATGTTGCTGTTACTTAATTTTACAATTTATGTATCAATATATTTAAATGACTTATTGTCTAATATCGATATATTTCATGTTTAAAAAATTCAGTTTTGAAAAATGACCTTGTGAAGATAAAGAAAATTATAAAAACATTAAGAAATCATCTACATGCTGACAGCAAGAAGTTTCTCAGTGATGTGCAGGTACTTGATATCAAATCTCATTTCTTTTGTACCTCTTTGCTCTGAGTGTCCTAACTCTACCCAAGATTTATTTAACTTTTTTTTTCATTTTGTTGTCTTGGTTTGAACACAATTATTATTTTTAATTAATAAGAGCTAACTTGATGTTGACCTTGACAGAATTTTATAGCAGACTATGACAGGAAGTTAGAACATCTGGAAGTGAAATATTTGAAAGTAACAGAAAAATACAAGCTCATTTTGGTAAGTGTAGGTCACTTACAGTAATATTCCTTTATGTGGCTCCAGCTACGTTCATTTTAAAAGCTAGTATTATAAACACTCATGTTGCAAGAAACAAATGGATTTATCAGCCTTGTGAAGATTAGGCACACCCAGATCTGTCACTATGTGTACTGTAAAACCATTCAGCGGTCTAAGAATTATAGATTTCACAGTAATTTATCAGGCAGTTTGATGAACCTGCCAGTCCATTATTTCAGTTGGTTCTTTTATTTCCAGGCAAAGTTTGGTGAACCACCAAAGTCTCAAGACTCTGTGTTCAGCTGTATCAATCTTTTCAAGGAGAAATTTCAACAAGGCGTTGAAAGCATTCCCAGTGACTAGAAAAAAAAATGTTTACGTAGCAGCACAGTGTTGTTTAATTTTATCCATAAATATGGAAAAATGTACCAACTTTTCCTTGTAAATTAATACCATTCTTCAAAATAGTTTAGAAACCATCTACCATACTCTTTTGGGTTGTTTGAATTTTTGTAAACTCATAATATTCAATGCAATGCAGCTGATTGCATATTTCAGATTAAAGACCTATGTAAATCCATCTGTAGTTTTTAAAATAGCCACATGTATCTTAAATTCACTGGCCATTTTGCCATCATTTTTTTCAATGAGATAGATTTAATTATCTTTAAAACCTTTACCTTTACAAATATTCTGTCAATGGACGTTACTTCAAATTTTAGCTGACAGCATTTAAGTAACCCTTAATGAAATCAACACAGATAAAAAAAAAGGCAAACAAAAAACCTATTCAACATTTATTACACTAAATTTGATATTTTGAATGCACAGTGAAGGTGAATGTTAACATAATGACCATCCAGTGTGAGGGGGCAATGTGGTGAGACACAGCTGGAGCTGATATGAAATATTCCTTGAGGAATACATTTGTATAAATTACTAAGTACTTTCAATTTTATGATTAGATACAATTGACAGAAATCACATGAAAAAATAGAATTATTTACAACAAATCCTTTAACAGATACAAAAATAGATCTGCACAGAGACATGGAACAACATTGCTATCAATGATTCAACCCTGAGATTAACTGTCTGATATAAAAATGAGGACCAACATGAAGCTGCAATTTTCTCAAGTAAAAATCAACTCCTCCAAATTTATAATAAATGGTATGGTAAAGGCTGGCATGAATTTTTTTGTAGAATATAAAATAGATTTCATTTGGGAAAATTCTGTAGAGAATATTTCAGCATTGGTGAACAAACAAGTAAATGGAATTGTTTGCAGTAGTCTTAACTAGTTTCTAAAAAAACAATGACTGCACCAGTGAAAACATTAGCACCCTTGTACATGAGGAAGTAGATCCAGTCATTGAATACAAACTAAATTATTGGCTGGCTCAGTGCTTTAAACACTAATCCTTGTAAGAAGATGACAATCAAGTGTTACAAGTCGTCATCAGAACATGATGTTGATCAGTTTGAAAAGGCTCCCCAAAAAACTTGTTCAGAATGACTTGTAAAAAGATAGCAAGCAATACATGTTGTATTTTTTAACATCCCAGAATTTTTAAAGAATTTCTCGTAAACTGCTGTGGGTAAAAGCACATCTATAAATAGTTCTAACAGTAAATGTATCCTAGTTCACAATGGAACAGACACGTTTGTAAACACATGGAATTATCAACATTACAATGCAGGAGAAAACTATTGTCTCATGGGAAGGGTTCTTGTGGCTGTGACTACTTATCCAAGTACTCTCCAGGACAAACATTTTTTACGCTATGAACAGTTAAGATATAGACTACAGTACACCTTAAACTTATTAAAGCCATCTCATTCTGGTTTAATATAGAAGTAAATCACTGGGTTTTTAAAAAAAAAAAAAAGCTAATTCCTCCGATTGTTTTTATTCCCATAAAAAATGTGCAAAGCGAACTATTTGTTGGTTCACAAAGTTATGGGCTAATCATGGAGCATCAACCATTATTATCAAGAAAGAAATTAGCTTCAAACATTAAACATGAACCCTATTCCCATGAGAAAATAACTGTCAAACTACATTGCTGAGGTACCATAAACAGTATCAAAGGAAAGATTGTAACAAAGCAGGTAACATGAATTATATAGTGAGCACAATTTAACATTTACAATCAATCAATACAATTGTTTTATAAAGCAACAAACTATTTACACAATTTTAAAAGCTACTACATACAAATTTCAAATTATCTGACAGTAATTAAGTGATTTTTATAGGTGTATTCTATTAACTAAAGCATTCGTGTTTCAACTGCTATATACATTGCAGACAAAAGCAACACCAGGTAAGGTTGTACAAATTTACATTGCTACACCTGTCCAGAGAAACAGTGATTGATTGCTTACTTTTAGTAACAAAAGAGTGAATGGTGTTATGGAAGAGCAATTGAAAATTTGGCATGAGTGCCGTGAAAATGCATGAACTTAATTTTTGTTTCACTATACAAAAAACTAATGTCTCATTTAGATAGAATTTTCCCACTGTAAAAGATTTTTCTTGTGTACATTTTAAAAACAAATTATAAAATTGAATGATCTTAACAAAAACAGTTAATTATTGCTTTTGCACAAGTTTTAGTTGTTAATTTAAAATTGCTGCTAATAAAAGAAAAATAATCACAGTAAATTGATTATTCCTATAAGATAAATTATTCAACAAATGCCAACTACATTTTATAAAAACAAATTATTCTAGAGTTAAAACATCTTTACAACTCTTACTGTTAAAAAAATGCCAATATACATGTTTAAAAAATTATCTTAAAATGTTTACAACTAAAACAGGAGAAGAAACTATGTTCCTTTTATCATAATCTCCATTCAACTATGCAAACAAAAATGTAACATTAGATTCTAATTATACACAAGAAAACACCAGTTCATCAATACCCGGAAAACGAACAACAAAATTATGTGTATTGCAAATTTCAATTTATATTGCTATCACTCATTCCTTAGTTACTAACTTTCTCCAACCAGCTTGATAATTTTTGTACAATACTTTTAAAAGATTGCCACTTTATGAAGGATAAGATCAGCAGTTAAATTAGGTCTAAAAATTATGAGCTTATCCAGCACACACTTAACTTCTCAGAAACCTCAAGTGAATGTGTATTTACAGTAATATGAGATGAAGTTTGAAGAACTTTTGCTAGTGAAGATTTCAACATAAACAACGAGACTGACTAGGTTATCTCCCTTGTCAAGACTGACAAAGAACAAAGTTATTAAACATAGAAAACAATGGTTGAAAGTTCACAGTATAAACTCTATATACAAGAAAAAAAATACATTAAAATTTGTTTTCTTCAAGAATTATAACAGAATGTTTAAAAACTCATTGCTTTATGCATTACAAGCAGCATTAGGAGTATAAACAATAAAACTTAGTTTGATAAGAAGTTTCTGAGAAGTTTACAATATTTGTTAATAATGCCCCTTAGAACTGATTACAAGCTGAAAGCTGTCTGAAAATTTCATTCAGTTTCTTCCTGAGGTACAGGATTTTCAGGACTGCTTAACTTTGAGGCATCAACTGGTTCTTTACTACTCGACTCAGCAGATACACTTGAGGGCTTGTCTTTAACAGTGTCATTTTTTAGTACTCTGTCTTTGAGGGAATCTAAAATTCTATTCAACTTAAGTGAGCCTTGAATTTTGTTTTTGCTTGGAACTTTAAGGCTTGCTGCAGAAGGGGAGGAAGATGATACAGTAGCAGGCTGTGCCTTAGGGAATAATGGTGAGGATGTGGATGATTTTTCAGAGGCAGAACTTCTTGGTTTCATTGACAAGTCAGTGGCCTGTTCCTGGGCAGGTTGGGAAGAAGATGAAGGAGGGCGATCCTCACTGTTTCTTCTCAAAGAGAGATCCTGAGCTTGCAATGAAGATGGGGGTGAAATGGAAGATGTGTGGTGTCTCTTGACTGAGAGGTCCTCAGCTGCATGAGCTTGAGGAATGGATGGGGATGAACGAGGAATATCTTGAGGGTGATGCTGCTTTCTTTTTTTATCAGGGTGATGTGAATGCTGAGAGGAGTGGTGATGTTTACTACTACTGGGTGTATCTATTTTACTGGACTCTTGCTGGCCATTCACAGGTGAAGGCGCTGAGTGAGGGGGCATCACCAACCCTGGAGGCAGTATGCCTCCTAAACCAGGAGGCAATGGAAAGTTTGCAAGAAGTGGGTTATACAAAAGAGGGTTAAAATAGAAGGGTGGGAATGAAGGATGAGCAGATTCAGCAGATGTGCTCTTTGAACCTGGTGTGGAGGTAGAAGATTGTTCATGTTTACTATCAGTCTTTTTGGATCTGCTATCTTCATCCCTTGAACTATTGCTTTTTCTGCTACCTTTCTCTCCATCTTTACTACTACCAGCCCGCTCTTCTTTTTCTCGGTCTTTAAATTCCTTTTCTCTTTCTTTGTATTCCTTTTCTCTTTCCTTTAGCTCGTCTTCCATAGCTTTCACCAGATGAGGAGGGAAGGCCATGCCAGCCAGGCCTAAACTCTGAAGACCTAACAGAGGATTTGGCAGACCGGGTAGTCCTGCCATTGGTCCAAATGGAAGTCCAAGGGGTAATTTAGGAAAACTACCCACTAGTCCAGCTGCCCCTTGATAGGCTGAGAGAGCTGCTAGTGAGACAGGTGGGAATGGCATATCTCCTGCCATCATCTGTGAATGGAGCATAGAGTCGCGAGGTTTACGCCCACGTCCTGAGGGCTTCAAAATGCGACTGTCCATTGACTTAGGCAACACACCCTGTGAAAATTGATAATTTTAAGAATAAGTTAAAAGAATATGAATTAAAACATCCTACAATCTGTTAAACATTTAGAAAAAAAAAGCTAGTATTTAAAATTACCTTTGCCCTAACCAAGTCACCCCATTTGGGTTCTACATCAAAAGAAGAATTTTGATCCAACCATTCTTTTAAATGTTTCAGAGGGGGAGCCTTGGATCCAGTTATCTGTTAATAAACAGAGTTTATTCTTGAGTAAAGGGGGTAAATTAACCTCAAGGCTCTGAAAATTACTGCTCCAAAGAATATTTCAGAAACACATATCACATTTTCAAATCACTACATTAAAAGTACAATAAGAAAGGGTATAATTAAATTGGTACAACCATTAAACATTTAAAAAAATTACATAACTGAGATTTAATACAATAATCTTAAAAAGAAGAAAATACACAGTAGAAGTCTAAAAAAGATGTGGATGAAGAGAATGTTCCTGTGACAGATTAAATTCCACTTTTATACCACACCACCCCCTTTTCTTGTAAGTGGTTTAAATATAATGTTAATATCACTTCATTGTGTATTATGTATGTAGGAATACATCTGAAAACTCCTGTTAGTTATAATTCAGATGTTAGTAAAGAAGTGTTTACTCCCTACTTTTAAAGCAAGCTTTTAAATTTGAGCATTGTGAATTGAGTCTTAAGCAGTTAAAACGTTAAAGCAATATGAGTGGTAATTTAGAAAAAAAAGCAGTGCACATTAATTTTGTAAAAATTTTGGGGCATTGTTTTAACAAGAATGTTTTTTGACAATAAAACAATTGAATAAAAACATACATGCAAGGTACAGGACTTGAGAAAAAAAGTGTCCACTAACCCAATAAAAACATGCACCAGGGACCCTGTGATCATGATTAAAAGACAACCTACCTTTTGTTACACTTGCAGATTACAGAATGTATCACCACTTACCTTTTTGTTATAGTGCAGAGAGAGTTAACAGGGGACTATTTCACTTTTCATAATTTTGAACTCTATAAATTGTTGCCCAATGACATGAACAAAAATGAACTATCCCACATTTTTTAAACAGAACACACAGTGATCACTATGGGTGTGATCAGAAGTGAGGACTTGTATCTCTTCTCACCTTCTTTCCTGATCCCCTCTCTACCACTGCAACATTTTCCTCTCCTGTTAGACGATCCAGATTCAGAGTTCTAGGATCCAGCTGAGGTTTGCGGCCCCTACGTCTGACAAATGTTTCCTGTGGGGTGTAGTGAGGATGATGGGGGGGCCATACAGAAGGATACACATGGTACAGAAGGTGGTGATTTGTGTACAAGACAACAGTGGCAGAACAGAGCATACTCCACCAGAAGCAGATCAACATCATGGCACATTTACAACTTTTTTAAATTTTGAAAAATTGTTAAATTGATAAAAAAAAATTCAGATTTATTAGAAAACTGCTGACCATACTGCAGTAGTAAATTGTAAATGTGACATTTTCAACCAACAGAAAGATTTGATTTAAATTGGATGCAATGTACTTGAAGCATAAAAAAAGACATTCTTAATACTTGATAGGATCAAATGAAAATGTGTATCATCTACAGTTTTTTTAAAAGTGTAGAGGGATTTTAACACAATGAATTCATTTGATCCTATATGTAAATATCAAATTAATGAGTTGCAAATATTGATATATATATATATAATGCAAAAAATAAAAATGGCATTCCATTATACCTGCTAAGCTTTTATTCTAGTAAACATTATTCAGAAAATTATAAACAGAAGAAGGTTTAAGCAAAGCTCTGCATTATCTTTAAGTATATAGAGCTATTTAAGTTGAATTAATATTCAGCTATTTAAACAGCCACAAGGCAAAGGGTTTAAGAAATTAATCATTGTTATAAAACTGAGTTAAATCATGCATTTTATGTTAATGTTTGATCAGCGTAAGTGTATAAATGTCACTACTCTAAAGCCCATATTTTGTCACTAAATATAACTGACCAGTTTTTGACTGAAGTAATTTTTCTTACTGTATTAAATGGTCTTTAAAATGAGTGAAAGAAGCTTTCGACCCTCCTTATGAAATGCAACCTTAACAGTACAAAAAAAGAAAAGCTTGACGAGAAAAATAAAATATCAAACAGCCTACCGGCCCAATCTCAGGTGTATTCAGCACTACTTGGCTGGCATCATCTTCATCTCCCTTTGATGGCATAGAAGGTGTTGGCATATTGGGGAGGCTAGAGGAATTAGAACTGGCATTACCACTACGGCTGCTACCAGCTGCACTGAAGCCTTTAGCAACAGAACCAGTAGATATAGATGCCTGGACTTCAGACAAGTAGGGGTCAAGAAGGCAGATGCTGTTGTCTATCATGTATCCAGGGTGCTGCTGCATCCACTCTTCTAAATCACCCTTCTTTGGACATTCTTCATCTCCCAACACGCTGCCATCCTCCAAGTTTATCATTGGAATTCTTGTTCCTGCAACAGAAAATAGCACTAAATAAGGAAAGAAGTATTTTCATGTACAGACAAGAACAATGTATTTAAACCAAGGCAAATATTAAAATACTAAAGCAGCTCACCCGGGTCCAACATGGCTAAGATCCGTGTCTGTTCCCTTTTAGCAATTGCTTCAGCCATGGCCAACTCTGCTATTTTTTCTGATCGCCTCTTTCTGCCCCTCCTCTTTCTATCAGGTATAAACATGCCTTGCTCCAACTAACAAAAATGAGCAGAATATAATTTTACAATGAATCCTGGAATTTTATCCCCAAAAAATTATACCGGTGGAACAAAGTATTTAAATATGTAATGATTTCATTTTATTTAAAGATTTTTTTTACTCCAATCAGGCTCTTTGGCATAACTGTTTGGTTATATAACTTAAAAACTTTGAATTGAAATTTTAAAAATATTTTTTGGACCCATTCACTCACCAAAAAAGGTAAATTCCATATTACTGGCATATCTATACCCCCCCCCCCCCCCCCCACTTTATTTGTTTTAAAAACATGGGAGCTGTAAAAATAGGTCTTATTTAGGAGGTGCCTATGTTGAGATGTATGTGATAAATCAGTATGATATTTTTACAAGGGAAAATTTAGCAAGTTAAGTTCTTGAAGTGAAACTCTAAACAGCAACTAATATTTATGTTTGCAGTGAAGCATATGAGATTGCTGGTGATGCCATTTTAAATAGTATACAAAAGCACTGGAATAAGAAACACCGGAGTGTTTTTGTTTTTGAAAATCAGGATTACTTTTTATTTTGGCGATGTGTTACATGTCAATAACATACAAAGTTAGTATGATAAATAGGCAGTCCAAGACATTAATTCGATTCAATTTATATCTGGATTAAAAAGGCAAACCAGCTCTGTGATGTCATGCTGTCCATGGGTAGCAGCAATAGATTTCTTATCTAGTAGGTCATTTTAACACATGTAGTCTGGAAAAGTGGTGCCCTATATTATGAACATGCTTACCATACGTCTCTGCAGTTGTGAATGTTCCATATTAGCAGAACTTGTACCATTTAGCAATGGACTGGGCATCAGCTATGAAAGTTGTCAAGTTTGATACATTTAAAAAAATAAAACATTCAATTATGAAAGTAAGTAGCTTTTGATTTCAGGTTGAAAGCTTAAATTAGAAATAAAAACCAACCGGCGATGAAGAGACATGAGCGGAAGATTTGACAAGAGGTGATGTTGGCAAATGTCTCTGTGGAGTGTGTGATGATGGGGTGGAGGCAGCAGATGAACTGTGTCCTGCATTTAAAGACTCAGACTGACTGTCATCGCTAGACAAGGCACCAGTAGCACTTTGATTGAGTAACTGCTGAATGCGGTTGACTGAAAAACAAAAGTTGATCAGGTAAAAACCCTTTATCACATTAACGATTGTTGGCATTATTCTTGAAAATCCAAGGAACAACTCTAAGCCTAGCCTATGCTTATTCTGCAACTACACTCAATCTGAATGGAACAATCAGCATTCAACCTAAATTTAAGCAATACTAGAAGTGTACACTAAATGAATGTCAATTAAAGAATATATAATGCAAATTAAAATTACTTGAACAAACTAATTGGCTAAGCAGTGCTAGGTAACCTGAGTTGCATGGTCTTTTAATAAAAAGCTGCCAAGTTCAAACGAAAAAATTTTCCACATACCCTTATCAGGATCTATTTCATATTTTCTTCCTCTTCCACGACCGCGTTTATGGAATGTCATTTTTAGACTATCATTTCTCTGTAAAATAAATAAATTTATTTCAACTGGTGTATTATGGTTTTTAGTATACAAAAGTAATGTATTATCTAGTAAAAACTTTCTAATATCTAGTTCTTTAACTTTAATAAAATTTAGTTGTTACACTTATAAACTAATATAAATGATACTTGAAAAATGAAACATGCATTAAAAACTAAATGTCAAGATGAAAAAAGACAATGAAAAATATGCAGCATGCAGTAATGCTTAAAAAAAAAAAGAATAAAATGCACGACCAAATCAAACAAAACTGAGGCTGGCAGACTTGACCAACTAATAAAACCCACAGCAGCTTTATGACATACAGAGCGACTAAAGTTAACTTGAAACTGATTACACAGAAATTCATTGTTCAAAGCTTGTTTTAAATAAAAGCAGCTTCTATATAATATTAGCATGGAGTACAATCTTTTTTTAAACCCACTAGCATATTAATGATCAATGTCTGATGTGGCACAACAAAATATTTTAGCTTAAGTGTTAGGTGTTTTAAAAATATGGAAAATAGCTCGTGTTAAAAGATATGATGCAGAAAAATTAGTGTTTATGGATTTTTTTAAATCAAAGCTTGTAAAAAAAGCACACAAAAAATAGCTGCACATGTGGAAAAGAAATTTTGGCATAAAGCGGTAATGATGAATGATTCCAATCCATTGAAAATGAAGAATGGTCCTAAAGGATAGCAAGTCTGCCCTACCTCAGGGGAGATTTGGGTATGTAATTCTCTGTCTGAGGTCACATCTGACCCAGTAGCCATCATCACCTTATTGCTCACTTCAGAGCTAGGTACACCTTCACTTTGGTCTGACTCAGCTCCAGTAGCACTGTCTGACTTCATGACAGCGCTGACTGGAGTTTCACTGCGGGAGTCTGCATGTGTTGGTGTGCCGGGAGGGAAAAAAGCCTGTGGTGGTCTACGAGCAAAGGGCCACTCTCCATGTTCTATTGTATAACAAACATGTTCCAAGCGATGAAATATCACCCTGTCCTGGAAGTACATGTTATATAACATTAAGAACGTTTGAATCTGTACAAATTTCATGACAAATCACTGTTGACATGAAAATTGCCAAAATGGTGTATGAAAAATTAAAGCTTAATTTTATTTTCATATTGTTTCAATACAGACAAAAATATTTACTGCCATTTCCAAGGGGTATTTTGAAACGAGACTGAAAACGTTTATTAACCATAATAGAAATCCAACTTACCTTTGGCCATTCAACAGCTGGTCCAAAATAACGAGTTGGTGCTATCTCACCTGGCTCTAAGCCTTCTACTTCCATTAAACTGGGATCATCTCCAAAAATACCAGATTGCCCAGCAGTTAAGGACTGCAAAATATAAGAATGAAATGGCCCGCATTTCAAAGGCATGCTACAAATATTAGGACAAATAGTATGCATCATACATTTTTAATATTGAAAGTTCTCTTACCAAATTTTCCCTATCAGCAGCTTTTAAGTCCCGTTCAATCTTTAATCTTTCTTCATTAATTCTTTCTATTTCAGTTTTGATTATCTTTTCCTTTAATTTGACATAATCAGGTTTATCTTCCTCTGTGTCTTCACCTGGGTCTTCCTTTTTCAATATATCTTCTGATTTTATTTCACCACTAATTGCTGTGTTTTCTGTTTTCACTTTGGGCTTTTCTTCATCCTTTTTAGGACTTTGTAATTTTACTTTCACTGGGGGAATATCCTCTTCAGTTTTTAAAGGCTCCAGTTTTGGCATTTCAGAATCACTCTCTTCACTTTGTTTCTTATGTGATTCGGTTGGAGCAGGTGATTCAGGCTTTTTAGACGCTTCATCATCAGTAGCTTTCTCCATAGCTTTTGACTCAGCTGAGCTCTTGGTATCAGCTGTTTTGTCTTTCTTTTTCTGACTTATTTCTGGTGTTTTCTCATCACTCTTACCCTTTTCTTCTTCATCTTTAACATCATCTTTCTTTGGGGTGTTCTTTTGTTTGTCTTCTCCCACTCCACTATCCTCTTCACCACTGCTTTTGTCTGGTACTTTTTCTTTTAACACAACTTTTTTATCAGACTCTTTTTTCACATCTTCACCTGAACTGGCGGACTTGGGAGTAGAGGCAACTGAACCGTCTTCCACTTTCACATTTTCTTTTTTAACTGCATGTTGATCAATAGGTGGAGATTTGACTAGCTGCTCCAGTCTATCATATTTTGGTGTAGGCAGGTTTGCTGTAATATAAGTTTTAAGTTATTTTTATGATTTATTAGGGAACATGCACAATTATTAAGCAAGGGAAGAAAAATCTTACCAGCTGAATCTGAACGATTCTGACCCTGGGCTGGAGTTCCTGGTGCAGGATGGCCTCTAAGTGATCTCAAAGAATTTTCCAGAACCAAATGGAAAGAGAGGGTTTTATCTCGCAGTATATTAAAATCAGTTTTTGCCACTCCATGTCTGGAAAATAATTTTTAAAACTTGAAAAATGAATACATAAAAATAATTTAAATTTTTTTTTTCAAGCATGTATGCTTTTAGTAAGATTTTACTGTGTGGAAAATCTTGTAACTCAATTTAGACCCACTTCTAATATAGCAATTTTATTTAAAATTTCCAGATATATTTGGAAAACCTAATATTCATTGTAATAAGATGAAATTTTTAAAGATTTAAAATTATTTTTATGATTAATATATTTTACTAACAAAATGGGGATGAACAAAAGAAGTGCAAAATTATGAATTAGGTGTACACACAGATGTTTACAAACCTGATGCAGACCACATGGAGAACTTATGACTGATTGGGTTTTAAAGCAAATACTTATAGTTGGGTTGGTGGTTCAATTAAAATTACAGAATTTTAAAAAGAAGGTACTAATTGTTTTTAAAATTTAATATCAACTTACTATTGTATCTTTACTATATAAAAACCTCAGGTCAATACAGTTTATTTTAATGTGAAAAAAATAATGTTATCTGCAGAGAAACACTGCTCACCTAGCAGCACCAATCAGCAATTCTTTGTCATGCTGTCCACATATCCACCAACTAGGCATATCATAAGAATGCTGACAAAGTTTAACTCTTTCATCCAGGTGAGGGTGCATCAAAATGTCCTGTCGAATCTTGTTCAATAAGTCAATGCGCGCCAGACAACGGCTTGCCCTTTCTTCTGTAATTGGCTCCACAAAAATCATGTTTGGTGGAACTAATTGAAAACAATTTTAAAAAATTATTTTCATACTGGAACAAAAAGTTAAAAATTAGGTATCAAAGTAAAATTTCAGTACTTAAGTATACTTACTGTCACCGGGCTTTAGCTTTCCACAAACTCGCTGGCACATGAAGTAGAAGGCATGGAAGTACTCTGTCAAGGATTCATCTGGCTTCCTATCTAAACGGGCCTGCTCCCTAAATCTGTCCCATCTGAATCGCCCTGCAGCTCTGCTAAATTCTACACCAAACGTTGACACAGTTCTGTAAAAATCAGCCTCTTCCCTTCTTGTCCAGCGACTGTAATGAACCCGAATGCTTACAATTTGGTGGGGCTAAGACCTGCCTCTGGTCACATTGGTGGTTGAGTTAAAGACTAAGTATTCTCTAAACTAATTAACATTAAACTGCAGTTAATTACATTAATCAAAATCAGCTGAAACTTTTAGTTGACTTAAAATTATATATAAAATTTACTTTGTAAAATCACAATATATATAAGAGTTCTTAGTAAAAATAAATCTAACTATTAACAACCTGCTTTTACCTTCTACCAAAGAGACTAACCTCTGTTGTATTTCCTTTCTCTTAAATTCTCTTTCTTTGAGATTAGTGTCTGTCCGTTCTCTGCGTTCCATTTTCTACAAACATAATAATTGGAACTGAATTAAGATAAATATAATTAAAAGCATAAATACTTACAAAATTGTTTACTAATCTCCACAAAAATATTCCAGTTAAGCATCTCAATCCATACCCTTTGAAGCTGTTCGTGTTTGAGCATTCTTTTTTTGTGATGCCGTTGATAGTTGGTGATACATTTTCTCAACCGAACATTCAAGCTTGAAGCATCAGGGAAAGCAAGTTTATCACTGTCACCTGTAGACGATTTGACATATTGATAATATTAGAAAATTACTTGTACCATTAAAAAATATTTCGCTAATCCTACTAATTGTAACAGTGCTTGTACCTTCTGTATTGTCAGCTGATGGTGTTTTGTCCATGCTTTCAGCAGCTGAAGGATCCGATTTCTTCTCTGTCTTTTCACTATCGTCAGAGTCATTCCTATCTTTCTTGTTATCACTTTTACTACATTCATTAGCTGAGCTTTGAGAGTTCTCATTTTCATCATCATCCAGCTCATCTTTTGTAATATCATCATCTTTTTCATCATCATCCCTTTATTGAAAATATTTTTTATTAAATCAAAACATAAAATATAAGTTGTAAATAAAATGGGTAAAGGATAAGTTTTCAAAAAAGTATTTTACTTGTCATCTTCCTGCTCAGCTAACAGAGCTGCCCCATCTGGAGGACCACATTTAGCCAGAAAACAAAGTGCAGAGTCAGAGCGTATACAATTATATTTTTCATAGCCATATTTGAAGACACCAATGATAAGAGACTTGTCAGCTTCTTCATCCCACCATGGTACTGGCACTTCTCCCTCTAGAATAGGCTGAGGAATGTTTATCTCACTGCAAAATATAAGAATTTTATTATCCTATTTTAATTACTAGTCTTTTAACAACATTTAAGATGGTTTTTGGCCTGAAGTTCATAAAGCGTTCAACATCAGTAAAATAAAAACTAAACTAACTTAAATCACAAGACTTACTTATGAGGAACATTCTGGAATACTTTGTCAGCTTCCTCTCCAATTAACTCTTGTTTAATATAATAGAGTAATCTCACCCGAAGAAGTACTCTGTAGAAATATTTCAGTTTAACAATAGTAGTAACTTTACTAATATTAACTTAGTATTAGCTTTAATGTATTTTTTCTCAACCATAATTAATTGATTCTTTAATAGAGTGTAAAATAAAATGTCAGACTGTTGGAAACAAAAAAACTAACTTGTTGGAATGCCTATGTAAATGCCTTTTGTATCCATTATCTAGAACAGCTTCTGGATCAAAATCAAGTGGTTTATCTTGATCTTCTAGAAAGTTTAGATTTTCTTTTCTCTTCTTTCCCTTTCGACCTCTTGGAACAGGTGCAGACAAGCCTGAAGGTTTTAACAATAAACTGTAGTTAAATTTTCAGGATTTTTTTATATATTAAGAATGGTACAAATATTAAAACTGTACAACAATTTTTTAACAAAAGGTGTCCCTCAGTAATGCAGGTTTCAACTCACAGCAAGTCTCAAAGATAAGCACACCTTATCTAAATAGAGACTCACTCTGTATTAGCATGGCAAATCATCATTAGTAACACACATTTTCAGATATGTACTTTTAATTTTAGATAAATTTAGTTCATTTCAAATTCTCAAAAATAAAAAAAATTATTCTCGAACTAGAATATCCCAGTAATGGCACAGAAACCCCTGCAATATTTACAAAACACTAGACTTGTATTTTATTGCTGTTAAAAAACAAGTCTGATTAAAGACCACAGAAGGTAAATCTACATGTACTTTATAGTAGTCAAGCAAAGTAGGCGGGCATTGAATTTGCCATAAATCCCTTCATATAACCTGTCTAAAAAAAATTGACCAGTATCCTATTGACCATACATGTGCTAATACACATACAGTTTTAGTAATTACATTTTGAAAGTACAAGAATATTAACAGGTGTCCCTCAGTAATGCAGGTTTCAACTCACAGCAAGTCTCAAAGATAAGCACACCTTATCTAAATAGAGACTCAATCTGTATTAGCATGGCAAATCATCATTAGAAACACATGGAAGCATGCTGGTTCTTAAAAATGTAGCAAAAAAATAATATATGTCAAACAAACCACAATGATTCTTCAGTTCCCCTTCCTTTCCTGTAGATATGAGATCCCATATGAAGTTTTTTATCTTGTCATCGCCTTTATAAAATTTCAATGAGTGAGCAAGCTGAAAAATGAACAAAAAAATTAGATATGATAGGTTAAATCAGGCGTTGATTAAATATTTCTAAATGCATTTCTATTTTCAGTAAGGTTACAGAAACAACATACTATTGCTCTTGCTATCATTACAACATCATCTTCAGTGAGCTTCCTTTTGAAATGTGCATGTTTTATCAAGTCTGACCATCTTCCCCAACTGTTGAGTGTAAAAAAAAATGTTACATTACTCTTGATGACAATTTCATTTTAATGTTTTCTAAAAAATAGTGTCAAAGCATCCGTGGATCAACTACTTTGTAAGTGCATTTAATATTTATTATTAAACACTAATAACAATAAAAAATGCATTATTTACCCATAAACCAAGAGAAGTTTTTCCACTTTAAAGCACTCTGATCTATCATACTTGTCACTAGGGATCTCATTAGCATAATCTAAGTCTTCATCCTGATTCCTTCTTTGGCTACGGGTTTTTCGCATTTTCTTTGAATTGCCTTTTTCGTCTTCACTACCAGATGAGGATTCAAGATCACTTATTTCCATAACCCCTTCATCATTACCATAACGATTTGTTTGTCTACGCTGCCTTGGTTCGGCAAGAATCAGTTCACTCTGGAATTTAACGAACAAAACAAACTTATCAAAAGAATAATTTTTAAACAGCATTGGCTAACCTAAAAGGATAAACTAGCTGTAATCTTGTGTGATCTTGAAATAATTTAATCTCAAAACTGTCAAAGATATTTACCTTTTTACTACTAAGTTCAGTATCAATATCAGCTTTCTTGGCCCATTTCTGCCAGAAGTTTGGATCATTGATGTCAATGTCAGTCCTGTTCTCAGACATGGTGAAACTAGCCTGAAATTTACAATTGGAAGTGAACTATAGACTGCAATTTGAGGTATGAACATTTTAAGCCCATCTCTTTCTTTTGAAATTTTCTTCTACTGTTTACTTGAGGAAAAAGCCATAAAACAAAAACCCATAAACCTAATGCTCTGTTCTTATAAGAAAATGATGTATTATTGACTATTTCCCTATGCGAATCTAAAGCATTTAAACTGATTACCTTAGCAAATGTTGATCCCTTTCCTTCTGACTCAATCTGGATAACTTTGGTTCTTCTCTGAAGGATTTGATCAATGTCTTCTTCACAAAAAGTATCACCGGTATTGTCATCCTCCATTAAGGCTCCATAAGCTCCCTTTTTTAGAAGATCTTCAATCTCTTTTTTGGTCATCTGAGTTGACTGGAAATAAACATTGAACAATTAAAAATAAAATTTAACAACTCAAAAAACTTAATGCAGTCACATAACAAAAATGGGTTATCTCTTACGGGATTTACAGCTTTATCTCCTCCCATTGACTGCAACACAGCTTTGTCAAGTCCTAACTTTAGTGAAGCCTTGTCAAACATTTCTCTTTCATAAGAATTTCTTGTAATTAGACGATAAACCTTGACAGCTTTGCTCTGTCCAATACGATGACATCGAGCTTGAGCCTGTGATAGAGAAGCATATTTTTTTTTTTTAAAAACGTATATTTTTCATATGTTCAGAAACCTCAAACTTGAGGCTTTACATTTTAAAAATACAATGCTGTTAATGTAGACAACCTGACTACTTATTTCACTAACGTAAATTTATTAGTATTAATTTTTTTTGTGTCTAAAATCTGGGGCTAATTATTTCTACTACTGTAGGAAAGTGTAAGAACCTGCAGGTCATTTTGTGGATTCCAATCTGAGTCATAGATGACAACAGTGTCAGCTGCAGTCAAATTAATGCCCAAGCCACCAGCCCTTGTACAAAGTAGAAAAGCAAAACGATCTGAGTCTGGTTTAGAGAACCGGTCAATAGCTTCTTGTCTCACTGTGCCTCGGATTCTGCCATCTAGACGCTCATATAAGTATCTGCATCAAACAAAGATATACAATATTTGGGTGGAGTTCTTTTCTTATATCTATACTGATAAACATACATTTTACCCTGTCTAATTTAAGTGAAAAAAAAAATAATTACTTTTTCTGCATGAGGTAATCTTCAATGATGTCTAAAACACGAATCATCTGTGAAAAGATGAGCACTTTGTGACCTGAACTTTTTAGACGAGGCAAGAGCTTGTCCATCAGAACCATTTTACCACTCGACTGAACCATAGCATTAAGCATAATATCTGGATCATCAATATTTTTTTCTCTAGCTTCTTCCAGGATTTTATCCTCAGCACCTACACAGAAAATTTTTTAACTATTAGATGCATAACTGTTTAAAATTAAAAGAAAGATGCATAAGTTCATTAATTTCATTTTATTGAAAATAAATTACCGTTAATAAGATATGGGTGGTTGCAACATTTCCTTAACTCCATCATTGTATTCATCAGACTAGGAACACTTGAAGCTCCTTTAGCCAAGAATTGGAAGTTGCGCTCTAAAATAGCTCTATAATATTTTTTCTGAATGTTGGTCAATTCAACTTCAATGATAGTTTCTTCTTTGGGTGCCAAGTTTTTTTCTACGTCTTCTTTCAGTCTACGAAGCATCATTGGCTTCAAAATCTGAACAGCAAGAATAAAAGTGTGAATAGATGTTAACTAGCTATACATAAAAAAGGTTATAGACTATTACAACAAGCAAAAAAGTTACATACTTCTTTTAGTGATTCAACCTGCTCCTCAGTTTTGAGGTCTCCAAATTCCTTGACAAAGCTCTCAGCGCTATTGAATTTGTTGGGGCTCAAGAAATTAAGTAAACTGTATAGCTCTTCTGTGTTATTTTGTAAAGGGGTACCAGTCAGGAGTACTCTATGCTCCTAATGAAAAAAAAAAACAGACATGTATTTTTGGCAATGTTCTTAACTTGTAAAATCAAAATTTAGTGTAGTAATTAAAATAACATACCAGATCAAAAAGTCTTAATCCTTCAAGCAGCCTGCAGTTTTTATTCTTCAATCTGTGAGCTTCATCAATAACAGCACAGCGCCATTCAATGTCAACAAGCAGGTTAAAGTCAGTCAGGATAATCTCAAAAGTTGTAATCAGGGCTTCAAATCTGTAAATATCTGGTATACGCTGACCATTTTCATCCTTGTAGAAAAGTTCATATTCTTTTATCATGTTGCGGCTTATTGATGTTCCATGAAAAACAACGACATTCATATCAGTCCATGTCTCAAACTCACGCTGCCAATTTCCCACGGTTGACAATGGAACAATGACCAAGAATGGACCTTTTATCCCATATTTATAAATCTCATTGAGGAATGTTATGCTCTGAATAGTTTTACCCAGCCCCATCTCATCTGCTAATATACAGTTCTGACCATGGTAGTAGCAAAAGGTCAGCCAGTTGACACCCTCCAACTGATACTCTCTAAGTGTGTTGGAATTTTTATACACTGGAGTTTCCTCAAGCTGCCTCCACTGGCCAGGCCTTGGGCGAGCAAAGACCTTTCTCTGGTCCTCAGGTGGAGGTTCTCTAAATCTCATGAACATCTCAACCTTTGAAGGGTCTACATCTTGAGCAAGCTCCCATGTTGCCTCTTCATAAGCAAGAGCTCTCCATTTGACAAGATAATGTTTAGTTTCTTCATCTGTATCAGGATCCTTTGAAACAATCATATCTAACACACGGTCAACTTCAACATAATCTGGATTGAATAATTCATCATCATCTTCTTCAAAATAACTTTGAGCTTTCTTCATTCTATATCGCTTGATCTTAGATAACACACGACGGTCCCCTCGTTCCAGTTCACTAAGGGTCCTCCACTCACAATGAAGGTAAGAATAGTTTTTATACTTTACATAGAACTCCTCCACCTCTTCTTCCTTTTTCTCTGAATTTTCTTCTTTCTTCTCTGCTGTTTCTTCTTCAGTGTCCCCATCGGTTTTAACTTTATCTATATCATTGTCCGACCGGCGGATCCGCTCACCCAATATTTTATCAACAACCAGAGTATCCTCCTCTGTATTTCTCTTCATTGTCACTGGTGCATCTCCCCCTCCATCCTCATCATTCTTGTCTTCATCTGACAAGTTAAGGTCAATGTCATCAACATATTTTGTTCTTTTTGTATTCCTAGATGACCTGCGCTTTTCAACATTTGGGTCAATGTCCAAAGATGTGTCACCCTCGCCTAAATTCATTTCAACATCAGATCCAGAATTATTTCTCTTCCTTTTCTTGCTCTTCAGCAAGAGTGTTGCTGGGGGCTTTTTCTTTTTGGGAGTTTTTAGTTTCAATGTTTTAGGAGCCCTAGGCTTTTTTGTTTTAGGGGTCTTTTGCTTTTCTACTAGACCATCAGGGGGCTCATCTTCATTTATAGATGTAGATACTACGGCATTCTCTGTTGTAACAGAACCAACAGAAATATTGCTTGCGTCCATGGTAGAGTCAAGCCCAAGAATAGAAGTATCACTGGTTATTATAGTAGATTCTCCATCAATTGCTGGCTGTAAAGTATCATCAAGGTTTTCTTCTTTACCTTTTTTCTTTCTGATTCGAGGTGTTCTTGGCTTAGGTTCTTTTGGTGGTTTGGGCTCTTTTGGTTCCTTGGGAACTCGTGGTTTTCTAGCTTTGGGTTCTTTGGGAGGTTTAGGCTCTTTAGGAGGTTTAGGCTCCTTTGGTGGTTTAGGTTCCCGAGGTTTCCTTTTTTTCTTTTCTTTTGTGGGACTCTCTATATCTCCTTCTACACCAGGTTCAGATGATTTATCTGATTTTGACTTCCTAATTCTTTTCCTCTTTGGTTTTTCACCTTGACCCTCTTGGGCCTCAGCAATTTCTGTAATAGTTGTGGGCATGGAATCAGAAGACACAACCATATGACCACCTGACATGTGAGATCTAGATATTTCCTGGTCCTGGGTAGAAGACAGTTCTTGCTCTGTCAGCTGATCAAGTAATGGAATATGAAACCCATCTGGGCTCATCTGAAGGCTGTCTGGGAAGGATGGCCCAGAATCTATTGTCAAAGAGTCTGCCGGCTGAATGGTCACCAGTGTAGCCTTGGAGATTGGCTTCTGCTGGCTGGTGTCCATCTGGCTAGTTGAACTTGGGCTCTGAAAAAAAGAATGCTTTGTTTGGTAATTCTAAGTTCATCTAAAACCAAAACAAATGAGTCATAAAATAACTAGATGGGAAATCTTTGCAAGAAAAATGTGGGTCAACAAATAATTATAACTAATAAACTTTGACTACACTTCTATGCTCAAGCAGTATAAACATTTGGAGCAGCTTTATGTTACAGGCAAGTCTGTAAGAAGGGTGGGTCCTGGGGGCTGGAAAGGTAACTAATACTTTAATTTTATTTAGTGAATGTATACTAAAAAAAAAAAGAAGATTCTTAACTTGGAACATGTTCTATTTACATACAAAAAGTTAAAATTCTGTTAAAGAAGCTGTACTTTATACTACCAAAGGTTTAATGTAGTTCAATTCTATTGCTGCTAAAAGTGTAAACATTTTACTTGATTAACTACACATACAACACAAAAGTAAAACTGAAACAGATGTATAATAGTAGGCTTTATTCCCCATGTAAAAATGGGAGGAAAAAATCAATAGATGGTGTTTAATCATACTATTGATCAAAATATCCCTCCAACAAACATGGGCTGATTTTTGTGTTATTAGTGCTGTTACTGATACAGAAGCTTTGCAAGTTTATTTTCAAAAACCTGGATCATTAGAATTCATTCTAATTCAAAATCTGCTAGTTTATAAACACCTGAGTAAGTATAGGAACTAAAGAACAAGTTAAAACAGAATTTTAAAAATTATTCTGCGCTGTTTTTTATACAACTCACCAACAGAAAAAAGGACCAGTTACTAATACAAAAAAAAAAGTTTACACTTTTACTTAATAAAACACTAATCCAACTTGGCTTCATATAGCAAAACATTACTTAAGATCTACATTTTAATGTGTGCAATGATTTTCCTTTAAAGGCAGGCAGTCTAAATTACAGTTATGCTGAGTGAAACGTATAATATTACTTACCATATACCTGAAGGTTTCCAACATGATTAACATTTAGAGCTACCACCAATTAAAGGTTATAACAAAGGCAGAGTCTTTTGCAATACTAAATCTCACTACACACAGCTTGATTAAATAAACATTAGGGCCCAGTAAAAAAAAAAAAAAGTATTTCGGTATTCAGCACTTGATAAGAGAAAACTACACCACTGTAACAGATGTCAAGACTGTGATATCATAAATGCGTGTAGACCTCCAAGCTCCACATAAAACACTTGTCTTATTGACAGTTGTTGGGTTGTCCCACTAACACAGTCATTCAAATCTAAACATCTGAAGGGCCCACACCACCCAGCCAACACACATGTTCACCAAGACACAACTATCAATGCAGCACTGAGTTGCCTTCAAACAAAGGCACCTAAATGTTGATAAATGCCCCAGATAAAAATAAAAGACCTCGTCATCGCGTGCCACTGTCAGACATGCCTGAGCGAGGTATCCCCCCCTCCCCACACCCACCAATATTAAGCCCCACTATGGTTTGGTAGTTCAACTTTTAAACAAGTTAACCCCAACCCCACCCCCACCACGACAAAGAATTTGAAGAGGGGTGTGTATACGTTCACAATATTTAACCTGACTACAGCTCAGGACTGTAGGCTTAATGTTTGCTGATTTATTTTTACCAATAAGCTAATACAAGCCTGTAGAATCTACATAGATCGAGAATTTATCTCTACAAAAATTATAGCTGACCACAAGGAGAGCTTTCTAAAAATAGCTTATTGATGGCATAAAAAATCAGGTGCCTACGCGAACACAAACCCTAAACGTAAAACCTAGCGAGATGACATTTTGACCGGTTTTATCCAGACCCAGTTTCAAGTAACATTAATTCTGAAAACTATTCAAGGGGGAAAAAGAAAAGGCGGGGTGAAGTTTTGACCGGCCTGTGTATTGGAAAGTATCGCCAACCACTGGATGCGGGCCATCAATAACAGAGTAACTATCTTATCGGGACAAAATAGAAGAAACTCCATCTGATCGGATTTATTAACCCCAGGTCATTCCTTGAACATGGTGATAAGTAAAAAAGAAAAAGAAACCGGCTATTTGTACAAAGATATTACTGCATTTATAACCAGTGCCAGTGAGCGTGGCAAAGCCTAATGTTGCCTATATTTTCTAATTCGTCATAACCAAATCAATAACGGCATAGGCATACTTCAATTGATTGTTGAAATAAAGTATCATATGCCATCAACACGAGAATCGTAGAGCTTGACTAATCGATCAGGTCTATTTTAAGTACAGCTAGCTAAGTCGTCGTCATTAGATCGTTGTACAAGTGCAAAACAATAATAGTCCAGGGGAAGGGGTGGAGGGAGAGCCTAGGAGAAAACACATCAAATCACGCCTGTGTAGATTTTTAGAACAAGAATTCAGACCAAGTTACGTCAGACAAGTACAACAGTTAGTCTAGTAACAACCGAAAAATCAATACCATTGATAGTTATTAGCAGTGAATAATATTAATATACCTGTGTTGCCTGGGGCAGTTGAATGCTGCTGTGGATTTGTTTGGAATTATGATTTATATGCGTCAATCAATGTTTTGAGAGTTGTGAGGCTTGGGTATAGCCATGTAAAATGTACAGTACAGAAATATTAAGATCAAAATAATGTAAGGTTTACGGGTGGGAAAGCATGCTGCTACTATATTAAACTAACGCTTTGATACATCGTGTAAACACACAGGTACCACGTGAATATGTGATACCCTCCACATTCAGCGCCTATCGTTTGGTCTACTGAAACAAAACCTAACACAATTTCCCTAACAAACATCTATTATCATGACGTACAGCATATCAGCCCCACCAGAACCACGTGCTCAGTGGTGTGAATGTTGAACACAAACATCAAACCTCACAATTAATGAGATGTGTACAACTTAATATACCACGATAAACGTAGGTTATATTATCCTATTCAAACTCGAGCAATCAAAAATAAAAACCAAGTGATACCTTATTTCAGGGTTAGAGGTCATAAAAAATGGTTAAGAAACTAAGAATACTGACCTGAAATATGACCATATTCATGCTAGTAGTCCAATATCTGTATTACGAATCCATACGCGTTCAGTCCAATGTATTTAATAGGAATCCAGACACAAGTCTACACAATTGTTTGATTACACTCGCACGGCTTTTTATTATGAACATACCACTCCAAGAAATAACCCAGTTGGCGTGTCAAGCCTTCAATAACTTCAATACATTGAACATAGTTGCAGGAATTGTCAGAACATGTCTATAATACTAAAACATGTCTGCAAGCTAAAGTTAGATAAAGAGATAAAAAAAAAATCCGGATTCAACTAATAGCACACCTGAATATTGTGATGACAGGTGAAAGAGAGGTAAAGGTAATAGTGTTATATAAGTGAGTAGAAGCAGTAAAATAGGGGAGTAGCGAGACAAAGAAGACGCTTGTCCTTAACAGCTGACAAAGTTAATAGTTATGATGGGGTCAGGGTGGTAGGGAGAGAGCACATGCCATTTTTGAAACGGAACAATAAACATGAAAGCGAGCTAGAAGCGCACTGGCAGGAAATTTTTTTCTCTCTCTCTAAGTATTGATTAGTTTTTGTATGCGCTATACAACTATTCCATTATGTAGAGTTGCCGGCGCTCGGAGAATCCAACAAAACCAAGACAGAGGGGAGGAGGGATTGTAAAAATAAAACTTGCGGTGGGGGTGCGACAGAATAAGTCGAGGGTTTATGAACTAGCACAGGGTCGGCGTGTACTCGCTATTGTGAGCGTTCACGTTGGCTGTGGAAGTGATTGCGGGCCGACTGCAAAACTTATTTATAAGCCGCGATTAAAATAACCGTGTTTACATTAGATACACAAGTGTGTGAATGTAGGACAGTCTGCTCAAGCAGCTTTCAGATGCGCATGCGCAATATTTTTTTTTTGGGAAAAAAAATATGATAAAGGGTAAACGTTTAGTAGCCTAACTATTTTCTACCAAATAAAAATCCGACAAGGACAAACATTTCCTGGACATGAAACCGTCTCAAACACCACGAACCATCACCCTTCCTTGGTGAAAACTTTTATAAAACAACAATGTGAATTAAGTCACGCCGCACAGGTATCTGATCACTATTCACGTTTGGTTGTATTAAGCAGGTGAATAACACTTTGACCTAACACAAGGCGTGTTACCTGTAACAACACGTTTAACCTACCAATATCCTCACGCTAGAAATGTTATCTTTACCCTCTTCCCCCCTCCCCCAATATTTAAATCTTTCAGTGCTGTGTTCACAAGAAAACCTACAGCGGCTAAAGGGCGCAGTGCTGAATTACACTAAGCCTAATGGAGAGAAAAAAAATCGCATAACTTACTATTGGTTTGTCTTAACGAACATTTTCACACACAGAACATTGATAGCAGAAGAGGAAAATTTCACCAACAAGACTAGATGATCCATTAACTTCTAAACAAGTCAATCAAATGTAAAGACAAGTTTAAAAAGAACATGGCTTCCTACAAGACGATCATTTTTATGGGCGGGTAACGGACGAAGGGGTGGGGGATAAAAAACGATCGACAAGGTGAAGAGAAAAAGGACAGCGGCTGGAATAAAATCTAAACTCATCAGTAACTTTATCGATTATTTTTTCCTTCTGTACATTGATGCCGCCGCCAACACTTCCCCCCCACTCTCCATCCACCATATACAGACTGGCACTTCTCTCAATTTAATCATAATTTTTATTGCCATTGCTTGTACATGATTCATGACAACTCACTGCTGGCATAGCTTTATAAAAACGGCCAGGGGAAGCTTTGGCCGCAGCGTGCGTGCACCAAGCTGACAGATACACGCAACTACTTCTCTTCTATCCGTATCCCACAGTAACGCATCTCTCTTCAATACATTTTATTGCTATTGTAACTGTCCGAGTTACAGTTTTAGAAAAGGAATATAATTACACGTCCGGTGACTCATCTAGTTTTTTTTTTCCTTCATGTTTTAAAAAGTGATCATTAGTTGTA